AATGAGGCTTACAATTACAACGTTAGATTATAAGTAAACAAGGGTAATACATCTATCAGAAGATCGCTGCAGCGGCGAAGCAGACGTGTCCTCTGATAGCCTACTTATTTTGTCGCATTTGCGTGCGTCAGTAGGACAGGATCGTCTCAGCAATCTTAATCTTGATCTTCTTAACGATGAAAGAGAAAAATTGGAAAAAAACAGATTTTGATTGCGTAATTGACCAGTTTTTGCCTACATTAATTCTCTTACCTACTCCTACATTTCTCTTGCTGTTCTCTGAGATCCATAAGTTTTTAAATTTAATATTAGATACTCTTGTTTTGTGCTGTTTGCTGAAGAAGGCTTCTTGCCAAAACGTTTGTCATTTTGTTGCATTCTTTTTTTTCAGGTTTTTTCCTACCTCGTTTTGCATATTTCCGTTTAACTTTTAAGTTATACAGTTATGACATTCTTTCATACTGAAGAGTTCTTTGACCTGGTGATGCAGCGTTTAGAAAATATTAAAATCCTCATTTAAAATATGAAATAAAGTTAAAAAGAGTTTAGCCCTGCTTTAAATACTTAAATTGTTTTGATTGCGTTAGACTTAGAGCTAATTTAATTGTTTATTAGTTGTAGCCTAAAATCTTGTGTAAATTCAAACTGTTAAAATCCATAATTAGGCTGGTTATAAGTCTTCTAGTTCCAGTAAAAAAATGTAATAAAAATAGAACTTAGTTAACATAGGCCTACTGATTAGTATGATACTCATTATTACTGCTGCTCTTGTGATCTCGGGTAATATTAATTACTAATAACAGTGTTCACTCTGTGTCGTGTCTTGCTGATTAAGATGATACTCATTATTACTGCTACTCTTATGATCTCGGCTAGTGTTCCTAACTAATAATAACACTGTTCACTTATTGTCTCACTACATATAAAAATGGAATGAGTCACTCTGTTTAAAGACCTAGTTAGGAAGCAGACATGATTTGAATCCAAATAACAAATAAGGCAAACCGAAAAGTATTTAGGGGCATTTAGGTATACTAAAACAAATAATTATTTTGGCCGCCTAGGCCTCATAAATTTTAGTTTTTTTTTTTTTTTTTATTGGTAGGCTATGATGTGTATATAAAAACTGCAAAAAGTTCAAAACTCAGCTGCTAGGCTAGTTTTAAAGGCAAAAAAACGTGATCACGTCATTCCACTACTCCATTCCCTTTATCGGCTACCTATACCGGCACACATCAACTACAAGTTGTCTGTTCTCTATCACAACTTTTTCTTGGATTCCTGCCCTTCCTATCTAACCGAACTTCTTTCTGTCTATTCACCCCTTCAACAGCTTTGCTCCTCTGCAGACACGCATATTCTGTCCGTTCCCAAGACACACACTAAAACATATGGTGAACGATCTTTCTCTTTCTGCGCCCCCAAACAATGGAATTCTTTGCCACTAAACATACGCAATATACCAACCACCCAGGCCTTCAAAACTGCACTAAAAACATATCTTTTTAAATTATACTACCCTGACTGATTCCCCTCCTCTGACCGATAAATGATCTTGCTGCCGGCCGTCCATGGTTTGCCTAGTAAAAGTTATGTGGTGTGGTGGGTGAATATACATTGCTGTTCTTTATTTCATAAATGTATTTATTTTAATGTCGTGATTATGTCTCTTTTGATAAAATTTTTATGTACAGCGCGGTGAGCCCAGCCCTAGGCTGCTGTACCGTGCTATATAAGACGTCTTATTATTATTATTATTATTATATAGCACTAATCAAGACTATATGACAAACATGTGGTCAGTTTGCAAAAAGCTTAGACCTAATCAAATTTTGTTGTTTTAAATTAACTAAAAATGTAAATTTCATGAAAATTAATTTTTGTGCTTTAGGTATCCTCTCGAGGTACTCAGTGAATGATAGGAATGACATCAATGTCATCAATGGATAAAATTTCATCTAGGCTTATCTCTTGCATCAATGGTTTGTTGTTATCTTAGGAACAGCTTAAAAAATGAATAGATATTCGTTATGCTTTATATAAATATTTGTTTCTGTGTTTTATTTGACTTTAAAACTCCATTATTCATATATTTAATTAAAAGATTAAATCTGATGTGGACTTCCACATACAGTTCCTACTCAAAGATTATAGCCCCTTTCCACACACAAATGATTGCTGGACAGAATTTAATGTCACTATCGGGATGTTATTGTTTTATGTTTAATCAAACAGTTTTTCATTAATCTAATAGTTTTCTAAATTTTGACCTCAGCACTTTGGTATACATTTTTTGTTTTAATTCTTAGAAATTTTCAAACTCTGCCAAGGGCTGGAAATCTCAAAAGAAGAAGAAGAATGGATGAAATTACTTCAGCAAGTAGAGGTACCATTTAAGTGCTTGTAAAATTATCATAGCCATTTATCCCTCCAACATTTTATGTATTAACCGTTTAATATACCTGACTGAAGAAAATTTAAAATAAAGACATGAACATTTAATGGTAAATCTAAAACTTAAAACCTTTTTCTGTTCATTTTAGTTTAAGGACATATCAAGGTCTTTTTTTTTTTTTTAAAATGACTGGATATTTATTTCATTACATCGGTGTATTTTTCATTTAAAATTAGTTACTTTTATTTAATTATGAAGAAATATGGTTAAAAATGAACTCTAATATTTAAAAAAAAATTATTGTTGCCAATGTTAATTTTTACAGCTGAAAGCATCCTTATCTGGATTAGAAATTCCGCTAGCTCTTCAGACCTTCATATTGTCATGTTCATCTATGAATGCACTGAAGAATATCATGCTATTATTTATACGGTAAGCTTTTAATTTGAAATAATAGAGGATACATTTCAAACGTTTATTTTTTTAAAATACTAAATTCATTAGCAAGTGCAGCTATCCTTGAAATATTAGATTGAAGACAAATAAATTAGTGGGAGTTCAACCATCAAAAGTGTGTGATTGCTTTCAGCACTTTATCAAGTATTTAATAAATTAAGCTTCGATGCATGATTGTTTTTAAAATGTTTCAAAATGAAATCAAATTTTATGAATTTATTATTTTTTTTAAAAAGCTACAGTCTACATAATTATCAAAAGTAAAATTTTTACTGATATAAATCCATTTTATTCCTTGGTTAAAATCCTTAAATAATTGGGTACACACAGTAAAGCACTGTACTATAATTTTAATTAACTTGACAATTTTGATTTAAACTTTAATTTCAGGAAAGTTTCTTTTTTGATCAATGAGCTTGGGATACTGCAAGATGAACAACTGTAAGGCACAATGTTTTTAGACATAATAATATAATTTCATTTAAGAAAAAACAAATTACATTTAATTATTTTTAGGTATTGTATCTCAACAAGCAGCAATAGTTAATTTATAATTAAAGATGGTTTCAAAACCTTGTTTTATTTAAATGAATCATTTTTATTTATTATTTATAAAGTTTACAACAGTGCATTTCAGTTATTATTTTTATTTTATCACAGGGCACAAGAAGCTCTCCTCATTGTAAACAGCTTTTGGTCTGTTTGTGCAAACCAGCATGCTGCACTTTTGAAAAAGGTATGACATAGTTCTTTTTCTTTTCTTCCTGATTTTTATTTTTATATATCTTAATTCTTCAAGTGACATTAACATAAGAAGGTAAATAACATTGTGTAAATAACCATAAGTTAGGTTATTTCATATGAAAAGAATTAATTTGTGTTGCATCTGTGCATGAATGTCATCTTGTATGTAAATAAATAGTTACTATTTATTCTTATACGATTTTCAGGTCACATCTCAATTCAGTGCTGAATTTTATGAAATTTTGCCTTCTTTAGCTTCCATATATGTAGATTTATTCATCGGTGCTAATATGTGAGTAGTTATTTAATAAATCTGTACATTTTCTTATGGTCTTTACTCCAGTTAATATGGACATTTTTACAGAGTTGCCTTAAATGTTATCCCTAGGCATAAGAAATAAAAGGTTTTTTGTTGTTAAAATTGAACAATACTGATCTTGTTATAAGAGATTATAGTAATTTCACTGTTTGTTTTTTGTTTTTTTAAGTGCCATTTTAACATGATTTTTTGCACTTTCCTTTATTTTGAGATTGGTTTTAAAATGCTGTCTTTCCTTGTTCATTAAGTTTAAATATAATTTAGTAACATTTTCAACTGTAAATTAAATAGTTTCTCAGTCGGTATCGACCATGACCACCTTAAATCATTAAATACTTAGCAGTCAATCGATTAAGATTAAATTACATTTTGACTTACCTGTATTTCAGTTCTAAAATAAAAGTTAACAAACTTTCGAGGCAGTTATATGGGCGGCTGAACTATGAGCTCAATGAGAGGTGCTTCAAAACTGCCCTTTTGGAGGTTTCTGAGTGCTCAACAGCTGGTGCTAAGATTCTCTCACCAATTTTGATGTACGTGATTTAAATTATTTTTAGCTTACACTCAACATGTAGAGGTGTAATGATATCAATTTATATATTGCTGTGAAATAATATTGTATTTTCGTTCATTTGAAAAAACAACCACTCAAATATGAGAATCTGAAAGAGTGTATGTTAAGCTTGGTAATTCATTACACTTCCTTTTATAAACCTAAAAAATGTAATAAGCCTTTTTTTTTTTTGCTTAAATATTATTTCAGAAAACTATTATCTGAACCACCTGCACAAAATTCTGAAAGTCACTTGGATTACCTGCTTCATTTCCTATTGCTAAAGCGCTGGCTTCCTGTNGGGGGGGGGGGGGGGGGGGGGGGTGGGGGTGGCGCGACTATTACACGCTCCTTGAAAAAAAATGTATGCTTTATTTATATATCTATATCTTTATTTCTATATATATATATATTTAATCAATGTAAATAGAATTACATACTTTAATGCTTACAATTATATTAATTGCTAAATTATAGTCTAAATATTTGACTACAAAGTTTTATCTTGAGTTTTCCCAAAATTCATTAATTCTAGAGCAGTTCAAGGATAAAAGCTCCAGTGGATTTTGTACAATGGCTTGTTCGGTGTTGGCCACAAGGCAGTGACTACATTCCAACAGATAAAAGCTTGAAGGGTCGGAGAGTAAGTGAACTTCTTTTGGAGCTGGATGCAAAAGCTACAGAGGAATTAATTGATGTAAGTTGCTTGATCAGTTCATACTGCACTGTGCTAAAATACTATCCATAAAGAAACCCATCCATAAAATTCTGTACTATTTGTTTTTCTTCTTATATTTTGAGGGGGCCACGATCAATTTGTTGATCATTCTGGCTCCTGGTTTAAATTCAGAGTTTGCCTTCTCTTAGATGGGTTGCCGTCACAAGCTAACGAGTCCCATCCACCCGGGGTGCTTGGGATGTTGGCATTGGTGGGGATTGAACTCCAGACCACCAGCTATTTGGTTTGAGAAGTCTAGACTGCTCTGCCACCCAGCACCCATATTTACTCTTAAAGAACACGCATGCCTCTGATTGGGATCATGTTGCACTTGGCACAAATCCCACACCCCTTCTGTAATAAATGTTGGAACATCTTATTCATCAAATGATGGGTTTTTCTCCTCTCATCCTCTACTCCAACCTCCCGTGCTATCTCACCTCCTATATGAATAATTTTCGACAGGATAAAAACTAATACAAAGGTGCTAATGGATTATTAAATGTCATTCATTAGTAGAATGATAACCTTGAACAAAACCAATGTTGTTGAAACATTAGGTGTCACAACTGAATAAGTATTATTTCAAGATTCTGCTGTTTATGTTAGACCTTTATTTTTTTAAAAACATTGTCACATTAATAAATTACAGAAATAAAAGAAGGCAGTGCAGAGGAAATGTTAATGTACTATTTCATTGGCAGGTTTTTTCTGAGTGTCTTGTGTCAGATGAAGGTAAAACAGGTGACAATATGGAGACCCCCAAACCTGTGTTTGTCATTGACAAAAAAGGCAATGAAACCAGAGAGGTAATGAGAGTATTTTGTGTTGGTCAAGTGAAAAAATAATTAATGATATGCTCTTTTATATTTTAAAAAAAAAATGCGTTTTGGAGCTGTATTTTTCGTGTATTTGATTAATGTCAACAGTCATTACATGAGTTACAAATTTATCTTTTTCTTTTTTTAAAAAACAAAAATATAGCTCACGTCTACAAATAAAAAACGTAAGAAACGTAGGAAGATTGAAGACAGACCAGAAGAAATGGAGGAAGATGTAGCAGCCAGCTCTGATGTGGTCATGTTACCTGGAAATTTAAATGTCACTGACTTGAAAAATAAGTCTACCTTAAGGATTGAAAATTGGTTCAATAGAGAAAATGAGACAATAGAACTTGTTGATTGTGATGATGATAAAGAAAGTGATGATAGTGATAAAGAAGATCATAAAGAGGAAGCCATGGAGCTAGATGAATCAGGTGTGGTTGATTTTAACCAATTTCACAAGAAAAATGGTAGAAAGGAGAAGAAATCTGATGGTTCTGACACAGTCAATAACAACATTGTGATGGAAGAAGAGAAAAGGGATAGAACTAAAGGTGCAGAAATGTCTGCTGAGCCTCTTGGATTTTTTATTGATCGAAATTCAAAGTCACCAAAGAAACAACCAGGTGCCTTAACACTTAGTCCAGAATTACATTATTTCCAAAAAAAATCACCCAACAAATCACATCAGCATGGTGAGACAGAGAAGCCTGTCAAAAATGATGATATGGAAATACAAATCATTGACCTTAGGGGAATCTCAGAAGAGAAAGACTCAGTTCATAAAGAAGAATTTGTTTCTAACCAAGACCTGATCATTTTAAAATCACCAGATATGAATTCACCCAATTTGAGAAGGGGACAAATTTCATCCTCGACGCAAAAAACTGAAAGGAATGCACTGTCCCCCTCAACACCTGCTCCAAATAGAGCCAAACAGAAAGCAGAAACTCTAATACTCGATGCTGGAAATGAGCACCCAGTGTCTAAAACCCTGACAACTGTTGTAGACCTAATTAGTAATGAAGGAGACTCCATCAGTGAAGATAATGGACAATCAAATAGGGATTTAATTCAAGGCTCACAAACCTTTCCAATGTCAATGTCACCAAAAAAATGCCAGGCAACAGAATCAGAAATAGTTGCAGCCAGTGACTCGGATGAAAGCGAGAGTGGCAGCCCATTCAGAAGCATAAAGCAGAAAAGGAAAAAAAAATCTGATCAAAGAACCAGAGCATCAAGCATTTCCCCAGAGATTGAAATAATAGGCAGCATTGGTGTCAGCCGAGAGAATCTTCACCACTCAAGGATGGGGAAGAGTACAGCCGAGTTGGATGGTTGGGAATCCAAATCTTCGGCATCAGGAAATAAATCTGAGGTGGTTGACTTGACCCAAGAAAATCTAAACATTGAATCTGATTCTGTGTCAGGAAATGATGTTGATGAACAGGTGGTTATGGCAGAGGAAAATTTAACCAACAAATTTGACTCGTCCGTGTCTTTGGCTGAGACAGATGTTGTGGTAGTCATCCATGAAGATGTAACTAAACCAGGCACTAGTGAACACGAAATCGGCATGGCACTTGCCGAGATCAGGAAGTCCATGAATATCAATGACAAGAATCAGAAAAGTCCTCTTGGGGAGCCCGCAAACAATACCACTAAACTCAGTATTAAATCAGAGGGCAGTACAAATCCTTCACCAAGCAGAAGGTTAAAGGGTGGCAATAGTGAGAAGACAGCTGTGAAATCTAAAACACCTAAATCAAATGTTTTAACAGATTGGCTGAGGAGAACACCTTCCCTTCCTGCCTGCTCAAATGTGCTACATCAACTGGATGATTTGACGCCTGAAAATAAAAATAACCGTAAGGTAGAATCAGAAGGTGCGACTCCACTTCCACATACACGTAAACCCCCTAGACGTTTATCAGAAGTTGACAAAATACCCCAAAGGGATACTTCCCCTGAAAAAAAGATTAGGTCCTCACAATCAAAATCACCGAGGGATAAATGTTTAAGTGGATTAAATACAACAGACCAGCCTCTGTCAGTGACCACCAAGCCGAAGAAGCAAACAGAGTCAGAAAGTATGATTTCACAAACACATAAACTCAGAAGAAAATCCGAATCTAGTCATTCAAATGTCAGAGAGGCCCAACTGAAAAAACCCTTGTCTGCTACAAAGAAAAAGAGGACTTCTTTACCGATGACATTGCCAAACGGCAAAATTTCAAATGAAACAAATGCTACTGAACAAGTCATTAACACAGCTACAACTCCCAAGAAGAGGATGCCCTCTCCAATTAAATCACCATTTACCAAGTTGTCACACAAAATCACAAATAATAATTCCGAAGCACAATCTCCATTGAAGTCACCCCTGACAGTTGAACAACACAAATCACCTTTGCCATTTATTTCTTCAGTAACGCCTCGAAACCAGGAAAAAAAACAAAAACTTGAAACCCCAAAAGAACTCACTCTAAATGACATTTTTGGGAAATCTTTGAAAACATATTCCAGACAGGATCCTGCATTGGTGAAAAAGCAATTGCTTGCCAGAGAAAAAAAAGAATCTAAAGAAGAAATTAAGTCAACCGTTTCAAAATTACCAAGTGGTCTATCAGACAGCACCAGTTCAGATAGTTCGCCACACAGAGACCAAAGTTCACCATTGAAGCGCTCATATTTCCTCAGAGGCTCTGCAACTAAGAGATCAGAGTGCCAGGCCTGTGGACTGAAACAAGACTGTACAAAAGTTGGTATTCTCCTAACCACGTGGGTGGGGCTGGATAACTTAGATTGCAAATTCAATATATTATCTTCCTTTTGGGAAAAGGTGGGTTGGGGTGGGAGTTGGGGTTAATGACAGTTTATGGTGTAATATAGGAGTTAGGAAAATCAGAGAGTTAGTTAGATGTGAATTGGAGAGTGGTGTAGAAAGGTATTTATCCAAGTTAGAATTAGGGTTGAGCCGGTGCAGTTTTTTTTAATATCTGGAACAAGGTATTTTTAGACAATACCTGACATGTCTGAGTCTGGTTGTCACATTTCAGGAATCATCTATGTAAAATGAGAAATGTGTTCCCTTACCCCCAATGGGGAGAAGTGAAAAGTGCATAATTTACAGAATCAAGCATGGCTCAAGGTTTACAGTTTCATCACTAATAGTAATAGCATAATAATATAATCCTAACCCAGGGATTCTCAACCATTTTGTGCCTCGATCCTTGATAAAATTTGCCAAGTTGTGTTGTCCCAACCAGAATTATGTTTAGAAAGTGGTTGTTGAGGGGGGGGGCCAGAGCTTTTTTGTAGATAAAAAAAATGTTGGTACTGTAATATTGATCAGGGACAGAGGGAAGCAGAAATAAGAGCATCAAAAGGGTGGAAGGGTCTGTAGAGAGGTCTCTGTAAGTCAATCCCCAAAAATTTTTTGTTAAGTTCTTAAACCTTATATAGTTTTGTGTGGAAGCTGTCAACTTTTTTAAGTGAGGCACAGAAAAAAAAATGAAACAAAGATAACAAATAAAAAATATAATTTTTAAAAAATCGAAAGGATATATATTATGAAAAAAAAATATATATCTTAAATTAGCTGCAGCGTAGTCAGATTGATTTGACAGAAGAAACTAGTCTCATCATTGTAAATAGCGCTACAGGTGTCTAATACTCTGTATCTCCGGGTCAGTACCAAGCTCAGCCCTAGTTGTAATTCCCAGAAGAAGAAGCCTGAATCCTTAAACTTTAACTTATCAATTCTTTTAAAATTTCCACAGCACCAACAGTCTGTGACTGGCAGTGATACAGGACCAGGATCAGCAAAAGCCAATAAGTAATAAATGTTGAATGGTATAAATATAAAACTAGATTTTGCACTCATTACGCTCATTTCTAATCTATAGTTTTACACCCAACAATGCATGTTGTCATTTTCCATTAGCATACATAATCATTTAGTTGATACTTTTCTTTTACAACGTGCCACCACTTTAATAGTAATTGAACGACATACATAGCAAATAATGGATCAGATCATTCTTTTTGTCATCACACCAAGGCTATGAAATAGGATATAAATAAATGTACCGGTAATATTATGAATAAGCCCTACAACAGCTTATTTCCTTTCACAGAAAAGAAGTAAAAGCTGCTACCCCTTCCCAAAAAACTCCCAAAAATTCACCAATGAGCAGCAGTAAGTAAAAAATAAGGAGGGAAAAAACAGGGTTTTGAAGTCAGCTGTAAATTGTTTAAATAATCTTTTTTTTTTTAAATTATTTTTTTACCTAATCAATTTGGTTAGTCCAAGAAGCAATCCTTTTTTTCCCCTAAGTATCTGGTTAAAACTGATTTGATTGATTAATGATGTTAGGTAACATCAGAAATAAGCAATTACCTTAAAGATTAATGTTATTTTTCATCATTTACTTTTGTCATAACAGGAAAATCTCTTTGCTCAAGTTTAAACTAGATGTGATTTCTTCAACAGAAAGAAAATCACTTCGCTCAAGTTCAAACAAGTTGTGATTTCAACAGAAAGAGAATCTCTTTGATCAAGCTTAAACAAGTAGTGATTTCATCAGAAAGAATATTCATTCTCATTAAATGAACTGGATAAAGTTCATAAAGTGATACATTTTTGTTTATTTCTGACTTTCTAACAAAATTCACATTTGCTTATGTTCACAAAATGATTTTTTGTTGATTGCATTTCAACGGAAAGAAAATCTCATCTCTCAAAATTAAACAAGTACTGATTTCAACAGAAATAAAATTTATTCTCATTTACTGAACTGGGTAAAGTTCATAAAGTGATCAATCTTTTTCTGTCTTTCTAACAAAATTCATGTTTATGTTCACAAAATGATTTTCGAATGATATGGTTTCAAGGGAAAGAAAATCTATTCACTGAACTTTAAGCAAATACCATAGTTTGAAGTAGTGATTTCAACAGCAAGAATATTTATTCTCATTAACTGAACTGGGTAAGTTCATAAATTGATCAATTTTCATTTACATATGTCTTTCTAACAAATTTCATGTTTATGTCATGTTCACAAAATGATTTTTTGTTGATTGCGTTTCAAGGATTAAATTAGGACAAAAAAATTAAACTGCAAGTGTCCTTTGTTTTAAATTGTCTGGATTAAATTTTCAAAGAGAGACATTGCATTTTCAAAGAGAGACACTGCCTGGTAACTCTTAATTATATTTTGGCATTGTTACTTTGGTGTGAGATGTTAGGGGATAGAGTAGGGTTTGTGGAAGCAGAGGTCCCACAGTTAGATTTAAGGAAGGAAAAATGTTTCTTGAAGATTGTGTCAGGGGGAGAGGTTTGGGAGTGTGTGTCAGCCAGTATGACTTGCAAAACATTCAAGATGAACCCAAACTACATTTTAGTGATGAATCAAGTGTCATGAGGCAACAATTCAAGTTTTTATTTATTTTTTTAAAATAACAAACTAATTTTAATTACTGGTACTTGGTGCCCAGATGTTATTATGCTCTGGCTCTGCTCAAAAGCCTTGTCGGTCAATAGTCCTGATTAAAATAGGCATACTTGACTTGTATATCTAAACGACTCTCAGGCTAACAGAGTCAGTACTTCACTGATTGATGGTTTTGTAATCATGCAAAAATACACACCACTCACTTGTCAACTACCGGTACATCAACTTTTAGTCTGGAAAAATTGAATTTGATCAAATTTAGTATTGTTTGCACTACGGTGAACTTTGTTTAGAAAATCATGCTATAAATCAAACTTATCAAAAACCCTTTCGCCTCATTAGGTAAGATATTAAATATTTTATTTAAAGAATATATCCTTTTTCAGCGGGGGAGCAACGCACAAAGAAACTTTCTAAGATTATATGATTGCTGTTTCAATTTAAGGAAAACCGTTCCCAAATAGGCCCTTCTCCTTTACTTATCAAGATCTTGCAACACACCTGAATAACTTGGTGACATGCCAATGTTGGAACACCAGAAGCACAGTGGTTGTTATGTGAAGAAGTAGGCTGTCAAATTTTGAAGTGCATATTGTGTTTTTCAAGGGCAATAAGTATAGAGGAACATTTTTTGAAGCTTTATTTTTATGACATACTAGAAGGCCTTCATATTAAGCCTTATAATAGAGGTGGATGGAGTTAAACTTAAAACGGACCCAAGGAAATAAAAAGAAAACTTCTAAAAATCATTTAATTTTGCTTAGGTGATAAATAAGAGATGAAGGCAATATACTTCTGAAAGTTGATGGAATACACTACAAGATTTAAACAGAATTTAAAAAATAAAAGTCAACAATGGGATCTGATTTGTTTTAGTAAAATTGTATAATATAAACATGAATGAGATATTCCAGCAAGATAAACCATAATATTGACAACATAAATGAGTTTAATGTGGTACATCTATGACAAGATCATCTTCATCTTCCTCTCCTCCATCAGCTCCAGGGTCACTGGAACAGAAGATAAAAGTAAGGCTTAAATTATTTTAAACTCAAGAGATTTTACTTTTACATACCAGTAATTGAATTAAAATTGTAATGTTTAAAAAGTAATAACTAAAAAAATATTTGAAATTATAAAATAATTTATAATTCAGTAACTAAAAAATGTTATGGCAATTTAATTTTAAAAAATTAAAAATTGGTACTCTGTGACGAAAAATTTACTGTGCCATTTAAATTGGTATAAGTAAAATTGATAATAAACCCACAGGTGGAATCCATTATCGCATTATTATTTTAAAAAAAATATATATACAAATATTAAACAGTTTATTTTTTTATTTTAAAAAATTTTAATCACATTTTAACTGAAAATGTCAACCAAGCAAATAAGGAAATTTTCAACTGTTTGAAGCTGAGGTTTTCTTTAGCATGTAGAATTTTTATTATACTACGCTATAACTATAAAATAAAAAGATAAATTTCAATTAAATTATTTTTTTTTTTACAAATCCCACCTTTCTTGATTTGGATCATTGCTGAAAATTTCCATTGGCAATGAGGCAGTGGCCTTCTCTATACCAAATTCATGACGTTTTGATTCCAGATGGCGTTCTAGTTCTTCTCTAGTCATTTGGCCAGGAGACTCAAGCTTCACTGCTGTAGACTTCTGGTTGTCTTTGTGGGTAAAAAGTCATGTCTTTAATTTCGGTAAAAAATCATGTCTTTATTGTGGGTAAAAAATCATGTCTTTGTTGTAGGAAAAAATGATGTATTAATTGTGGAAAAAAAATCATGATTTATCGAACTAAAATTCAACATATAAATTGGGCAGCTGTCTGCGGCAAAAGTTGTGTGTAAATTTTAGCTCAAGCAGCAGCTCTGATATTGCAGATTGACTTAATTAACAGAAGTGGGCAGCCTTGTACAGAGTTGTAGCACGTGTGATTCCTGACCAGAAGTTGCATATGTTAAAAAATATTGATGGTTGATGGGCCAAATAGGGGCGCAACACATTTGATGAACTCATAGGGCAGCTTTTCTTTAGCAGCCAGAACACCTCAGCCACCCTAGCTGAATTTCGAAATATCAGCCAATATAGTGTATGGATACAAACCGGTTGTGTATGCTCCAGAAAAAAGGTCACATATAATAAATATGTTACCTTTAGTTAATTCTTGAAAACCCCCTGCCAAAAATTCTTTATCCCCCAGGCACAATTAATGAAGGATTTTATGCCATTCGAAAAAACACAGCTCTGTTACTGTAACTGTAACTCTTTAAAAGTAATAATTAAAAAATCTTTACTTTTTAAAAGGGGCGACACGGAGGCGCCACTAAGGGTGGTGTCACCAAAAGAAGTAAACTCCTGGTGCTTCTCCCCCCCCCCCCACCCCCACGACCTGTACCAAATAATTCTTAACCAGATCATTCGGAATCCATTGTAGGCTTACAGTATTGTTTGTAAAATTTAAAAAGTCCTAGAGGAACAAAAGATGTAAGAAGAAGAAAAAATATAATCTGAGATAACACCACATCCATTTAAAAATTGACACAAAACTACTTATTATTTAAAGTTTTTAACTTGTCATTTAAAACTTTCATTTTCTGGTCTTCAAACTTGTCAATCACTTTATCAACATTCCTCACCATATCCCTTTCGATTGCGAAATTTCAAGAACAGAAAGCCTGGTAAAAATGGTTTTTTACAAGTTTCAGTTTGGAAAAGCTCCACTCACATAAACCCACAGATCATAAGAAATAGTTGTAGGTTTAATTAATGAGCGGATTGGGCGGGGGGGGGGAGATTATAGTTAGGCATATTCAGCTATGAATTTCAAACAGCAAATACTGACCCGTCCTTGGCTTTGTCGAGATTAATATTTCCTGCTTTCAGGTGCCTTCGCCAATAAAAGTTCAATTTCAGATAAGTCATCATAGAACGTTTGGGAACTGTCACCAGTAGCTCTTTTTCAGTCACCAATAGTAGATTCTTAACCTTGAAGAGCCCAAAACATATCTGCAGGGTTCTTCATCTGTTCTAGTTCTAGAGTTCAGAAAGAAAACTTTTCAATACCCGCTTGTTTTCTTCTTGTTAAGTGAGTCCGGCATCTCTTGATTGCTTCCTTGCCATTGTCTTCACCTCCTCCATACTAGTCTGTCGGTTCTGGTGCTCATGTTCTATTTGCAACCTATTCTGATGGCAACCTGCTCAGGTGACATCCTGATCTGATGGCACCCCATTTTTGTATTTACCTGAGTTCCATTATGAAACAGATGCTGGCGAACTGTGTAAAATTTGAATTTTTTAAATGTATTTGGTAACACACTCACTCCACCCCACTAGTGACTGGGAAATGTTGGTTTATAGTACTCATAAAAATAAAAATGCCTCCTGCTGGTGTTACATCCAGATTTTATCAATTCAGGCACTAAAAAAAGACCCAAATGTGGAGAACTGTGGCCTTGGCAAAACTAAACATTTCACAAACCTACAGTATCATTGGCTTGTGTAATAGATGGTATGACAACTGAAACATTTAAATAATGGCTATCAGACTAGAACTTCATGTGAATTTTTAAAAAAAAAAAAAAATTATTTTTACTTACTTGCTTTACTGCTCTTTTTGCCAGAACCTTTGCTCTTTTTCTTGCTGACATTATGAGATTCACCACCTCCCTGAAAGTATGTCAAAAAGCTTACTTTAAGCAAATTATTGTAAAGTGCAGAACTTCGCAGTTAACATTTGTACATTGATGGAAGCTGGCGATGCATTTTCACAGAGATTTTTTACCATAAAACAACACTTGTCCATGAGCATCACATAAAAAATACTGCTTAGAGATAACTTAAATTTGATTAACACTATGGTATTCTTACATCAACAAGTAACTGTCCAATATGTGAAGATTCTGTCTTGACAGCCCATTGGTTAAACTGGTCTACTTCAGGGGGGATCAGCCCTGTCGAAATACCTGTCTTAAGTGTCTGTGCCCACTCCCCCCAACCATTACCACACAAAACATGAGAAACTTAACAACCTTATTGGCTAAAATCTGAAAAAGAAAAATAGATTCTCTGCTGGGGCAACCCAAACTACTGCCTCAAGACGGGTCCACTAAAGATTTCTGGGACAAAAGAGAACAATTTTAAAAAATTTAAAAAAGCAATTAATTAAGGTGACACCACAAGTCATCCAAATATTTTTTTAAAGGGCATGTATACCTACTGACCGAATTGTGTTTTGCTGAGCTTGAGAGAATGTGTGCTAAATCTGCAGCAGATGTCGGCTGACTTCCAAGTTTGCGCCTGAAACATTTTTAATTCATATTTAATCACATCACTTAATAAGTATGACTTTGTATACTAATTTAATTATTGCTTTTAGTCAGTCTAAACCACTTAAGCATTAGCATAAAACTTAGTTCTTCTTCCAATGTTTCATCACAGAAGAGCTCAAATCTTTTCAGTTACAATAGACAAAACAGATTCTAATGAATGCTGCATCTTTTTTTAATACATGAAATCCCAACAACAGCTCCATGAAAAGATTTATTTATCATTTATTTAAATAATCAATATTATTCCATTCTATGCCGTAAGTTGATCATGGCATATATTATAAACTATGATGAAAAATTTAATCTTTGCTTCATTTTAGTATTTTAGCCACTTCATTGTGAATAATTCTTGCAAATTTTAGATCATAACAAAGACATCTTCTTCACAGATGATCAATAATTGCTTTATATAAATATGGCACCAGTGTGATGACATTCACATTATGATAATCATATGTAATTGAATAAAAATTTTCTTAAACATATGACTTAACAGAAGAGGCTTTATTATCTTTAGCTATGCCAATCAATGACATGTCAAATTGACTTAATTCATTTTGTAGGGTTGTTAGTATATTTTAAAAAAAAGACAGGATGTGGTGTTTTACTTTTTTGTAGGACCAGGTTCTCTATGATGACCACCATCTTCTGTGTCTGTTGAATTTGTTGCATCCGATTCTCCAGATGAATCTTCAATTTTTTCCTGCTGCAACAAACGATCCAGCAGAAAGCTACGATCTCTAGAAACCTTCAACAGTTTCCTTTGAGCCTTTCTCAATTCACCAAGAAAGCATTCTTGTTCCTAAAAAATAAAGTTCAAATTAGTAATTAAAAATTGATGAATCAAAATTGAATTTTAACAGGGAGCCCTTCCCTGATTCCAAAGTACCTGTTTTAATGTTAGAATGGTGCCAGTACGGTTAAATACCCTACTAAAACCTAAAACCAATCAATGTCAATACCCAAAGAAAACAGCATTAGTACCTGTCACTAACCACACTACATATAGTCAATACAATTAAGCATTTGTGATATGTGGACTAACATCTGGAATTATTCTTATAGTCACCTCTTCTCGTAATGTACACATGCAACATGGTTGCCCATGTTGCATTGCCCCAGCTAGTGTATACTACATATATAATATATCTAGCACACTGTATTTTAAAACACTTTCACCAATATTTTATAACAACCAAAAAGCACTTTAAAAGTTTGTAATTGTTATAATATTCAAGATATTTAAGATGAAAAAATATTTTACATGTCTAACATTTAGGCCTACATTCTAAAATCAAATATGAGATGTAAAACAAATGTTCCACTCACCTATGTATGAATACAACATTTAAATTTAATAAATTTAACAAATAAATATCTTTGACGTATATTATATTGCCATAGCCACTACACTTACATAAACTAGGAGCCGCAATTTCTTTTTCAGAGCTTTGTACTTTTGTCGATAGTCAATATGGCCTTCTGAAAACTCTTCTAAAAAAATATTTTTTTTTAACGGATTAAGTGATAGTTATAAAGCCTAATAAAACTTTATAATTAGAATGTATTTTTTTTTACCTAATTTAATTAGTCTAATTTAACTTTATGTAATGCAGGCTAAAAAAAAAATTAATTAGGCTAATAAATAGTAAATTACCATCAAATTCACCTGTCACCGGCATCATGTCGAATTATTTAAAAAGCTTCATAGAAAATAAAATGTCCCCACTGAGAGGTATTCTGCTAAAATGAGCCTGCAGCTGCTGACTTTAATTTTTAGTGAATAAAACAGAAAAAATGGGTTAAATAAGGCCTACATTTAATTAAGTTTAAGTACAGCCATCTACACTCACTACTACACTTTACCATTTTATATATCTATATGTAATTTAGTTTATATAGTACAGTATAGTCATTAGATATAATATTTTAGGCTTATTTTGGCTAGGTAGCTTCAAATTCTTTACTTCCTTGATTATTAATTTAAATGTTAAATGTAGTTTTTTCCTATAAAGAATAGGCCTACTTATTCTAACGATGACTAAGTTAAAAAGTAATGACAATAAGTGAGCCTTTGCAATGGCATAGCTAGGTTTGTGGTCACCCGGTGTCATCACCCCCCCCCCCCCCTCCCACCATGTATTTCTTCTTTTTTAAAATAAGTCAACGGTATAATAATGATCAGAACAAAAACAAATTAAATGAAGGTCAAGGGGTAATGTATTTAAGAACTGTAACACGTTTTAAGTTATAGTTATTTTTAAATTAAATTAATTTATTTAAATTTTCCTTTCCTGGTCTTCAGAGCTGCATATCTGTCAATCAATATCCTTCACCCTATCACTTTCAATTGATAGTAGAGCCAGATCAGAAAGCATTGACTGTCCCATGGAGGATCATAAAAAATTTTGATAAGCCTTAGTTTTCAAAAGCTCTGCTCACAAGAAGCCACACACAGATCATAAGAAACAATTGAAGACTAAATGAGAGTGTTGGAAGAGATTCTAGGAAGTCCCATTCTGCTATGAATTTCAAAACAACATCAAATATTGAAAGAGTCCATGACTTTGTGAAATTCAATATCAGTTGCCTTCTAAGCCTTGGTATTTCTTTTAAAAGTTTATCTTTAGATATCTCATCATAGAAAGAGGTTAATTTTGGAACGGACACCAATAACTCTTCTTCACTTGCTGATAGTAGTCTCTTGGGTTGAACAGCCATAAACATATCTGCTACTTCCTTTATCACTGATGATCTGATATTCAAAATGAAAGCGATTAATACACCCCCGCATCTCCCTTCTGTTTTCTTCTCACAGAGAGAGTCCAGCATCTATTAATTGTTCTCCTGCCATTCTCTTCTTTAACCTTAATCTTCTCTCTACAGAAAGTCCATTTTGAAGTGGTCTGATTTTAAAAGCATGTTCCACCAAGTGACAGCACTTCTTGTGCAGAAACAATTTTTTTAAGGCCTCTAGGTTGGTCCCCGATTTGATTCATGTACTTAGAAACGCCTGACCACATCGTATATGGAATCAATGGAAAGCTTTATTTCTCAGAAGTTAGATAACTCTAGCTTCCTGTCACTTTCGAAAGTTACTGAACACTTCAATCGGCTTTGAATCATGGTCAAAACTGTGTTTTTCTGACCCATCAACCTTGCACTTTTAATAAATGGATTGGTTACATGTGTGAAAAATTTACGTGTCACCCCTGAGATGTTGTCACCCAGTGTGGCCCGCACCCTCCCTAGCTACACCACTAGGCCTATATATTATAACTTAGCCTTTTAGACTTCACTAAGTTTGATTAAGAACACATTAAGAAAGACACTTCTTAATCTTACTGAGTTACTATGACTAGTTTTAATATTATTAAGGTCATGTGCAGTCAAGATAAATGATATTGATGGAGTAGGAATAAGATATTTTGAGAATTAGGGGAAAGTAAAGTGGGTAACAATAATTTTAAAATTGCTGCTTGAAAGAATTAGCAAAATCTGTAACATCTATTTTGCATCACAAGGCATGTTCTGCATATGAAACTGCACCAACAATGCCCTCTTGAGCAAAAGAAATTACCACCTGCTCCTCAACAGAAAAGGATTCGACTAATGCATGTAGCTGCCAGGAGACAGGAGAGCTTATGGCAATTATTGCTCACACTGACAATACTTCTATTTTAAGTGCTGAATGGTAAGATGAGGATGATGTTGAGTTGTCTGGTATATCAATCCTGCAAGATGAAAATGATAAATCAACTACTATGCTCATTGTTACGATACAGCTACGATACAGCAACACCTGGCTACTCCCTGGGAAGATGATAGCAGCTAGAAACTATGCTACAATTGTCAGCTAGACTGACAATAATAATTTTTATACTTCCAAAAACAATGATATTTAGTCTTTAACAATCTTTTCATTGATTCTGCATTATAAAATTTAAGTGTAAAAACGTTTTAACTTGATTAATAAGCTAAAGATGCAATAAAATGTTTTTCTTACAATTTTTTGTTATTAAAATAGATCAGCACAAACTAAAATGTATTTATATATTTATTTATATTATAATTCAAGGGGGGGGGGGGGTTTAAATAAAATGTTGATATAATTGCTTAGGGCGGGGGTCATTGAAAGTTTGTCAGTTTTTTACTATTGGCAATTGGTGGTGAGGTTGGGAGGGGGGGGGTGTTTAAAAATTGCTTAAAAATTGTTGACGTAATTAATGCAAACCCCTTAGCAGTAAGAGCACTTGCCCCTTTTTTAGTCTTAGTTTTAATTACTCTTTAACAGTATGTTTGAGTTAGTGAGTAAATTATCTTGTTAGTAATATTTTTTTTTTAAATGAATTAATAAATAACAAATTTCTAAATTCTAAGGGGCACTTATTAACTTAGGCGAAATGATAAAAGAAAATTCAAAAGAATAGTTTAGTAAGTAAATGTACATAATTATACAATAAAGGACAGTAGTTTTGGGTAGAGGGGTAACAATTAATCTACTAACACTAAGACTAAGTCCTAAGTCTTAGAAACTTAGTATTACACTTTCTAAACAAACAAAAAGTTAACTTAAACCTACACAATTTGTATAAGCCTAAAGCCTAAAGACCTATAGAATATAAGCCTATAATTACCGGTGCTAAAAAAATATTAATTTAATAAAAGTTTTATTGATTATATGACTTATATCACTTAGACATGACATTCATGATTTATCTGAATCAACTTATAACTTATCACTATCACTAACTCAACTAACTGTAACTAACACTACCACTAAGACTAAGACTAATTGAGTGTGAAGTGTTAGTTTTAGTAGTGTACGGTAAAGACACTGTCACAGAGTGTCAGTATCACATTGATTCACACTATCAGTGTAGTCTCTGTTAGTACTGTTGGACTGTTAGTTTTAGTGAGGGTAAACAGCACTTAAACTTAAAGTTTAAAATGGGAAATGTCAAATGCAGCTTAAACTTAAACGTAAAAATTGTATCGGTATCGTTTCATTAAAGATATTTGCTTTCGAGTACCATTAACTGATTTAAATATATTGTAACCTTACGAAATTTCACAGAAGGCAACTATTAAATTATATAATAATAATATGGTATAGAAGGGCTGTCTACTGTAAGTAGTGTAAGCTGGTAATGTTTATGTCTTCACTTCACCGAAATTTCGTTTCCAGCAGGAAAAGTTATTCGTGTTTTGTGCTTAAATATACCAAGAGGCAATATAGAATCAAACTAGCGCATTTAAACAATCATTTAAGAAAAATACCCTGAAGTAAAAATACATTGATTTGATATTAACATTACTTAGTTTTTGTTTATGCTTGCGGTTATAGTTGTCTGTGAATTTCAGTTTATTTCAAGAACAAATACATTGGGCTATTATTTTTTAGTTTATAGTTGGCCAGTAAAGTGTTAAAATTCTGGCAATCAACAACTATACTTCCTTTTCCACGGCTTCCGCCAAGGTAAAGCAATGGAAATTTAATTTTTTTTTCCAATTGCTAATCAATCGTCTGAATTTATTATCAATCCTTTTCTTATTGTGTTTTAAATAGATCTGTTTTATGCTTTTTACGTACGTTCGTTTTTATTTGTTATATGTCCCACCATTTTTTTTTCATTAGAGGATAAACAAGATACGTTTCGTACATAACCTACCCATCAACTGTATGTAAACAACCAATCTTGGTGCTGTTTTACACAAGTTATTTGTGCACTATAGTCAGTCTTTCAAGATTATATCTTGCCGATTTATTTATTATTGACTGAAAAGTTTTTATTTTATCCTAGCTTAAAAAAAACAACTTTTATAAGCACTACAAACAGGTACATGATCATTTTCTTGTTACTTGGTAGCCGGTGCAAAATTATTGTTCACCAGTATTTTTTGAGAAAGATTGAAATATTTTGTCTTGAAACATGGGGAATTACATCTTAAGCTAGTATGGTTATTAATATTATAGTGAGAAGGCCAAATTTAATAAAAAGGAATGGCTAAGACCTAGTATTTTATGACTTTCCTTTGCTTTTGAACCTTGTATGTTGAATTTTAATTAAAAAGGATTGAAATTTTCATATATCATATGGTATATAAATTATATTTCATTAACTGTATCATTGGTTAGATTTAGTTTATGACGTGAATAATGCTCATTGAAGAACTGGAAAGTTGCAAACATTCAGGCCCAAATGTTGGTCCTGTCACCCCAAGTCCAGTGTTGGCGTTGCGGCGTTGGCATTCGCCAAAGTGTCACTCCCCTTAGGGTGAAACAACTCTGGGCAAAAATCCATGCTAACAGTTTTCTACTCAGTTTTGCCCAAACGAAAGGCTCACGGACAGGACCACTGTTCTATAGTATAGGCACAGGCCCAATATTTTGTAGGTCTTGTAAATTTTTTCATTAACCACATGAAGGAAACTGGATGATGTTACTACCTACACTCATATGGTTTGCTGACATTATGTATTTCTATTTTTCTAGATGCCGACTGCACCAAAAAAAGGGTCAGCTTTTGTCACCAAGAAAATTGGTGGTGATAAGAATGGAGGTGAAAGAAAAGTTAGAGTGAATAGGCTGGTAAGTTGTTTTTATTAATCTTCTGTATTTTAAATGATACTTAAGCTTGTCAATAGATAGGGCCCTATTATTTATTAAATATCTATCTAGTTTTTATGTAAATACATAAATTACTTTGCCTTTTAGCCTAGGTTCTACCCTACCGAAGATAAACCAAGAAAGCTTAAAAGTCATCAAAAGCCCTTTAGTCAACACAAGAGGAATCTGAGGGCATCAATCACCCCAGGAACAGTGCTTATCCTTTTAGCTGGAAGGCACAAAGGAAAGGTAGGTAAATAGGTAGTCCTAGAAGTAGGCCTTCGAAGGTGTTTTTCAGTGTGTTTTTCTCAATGTATGTGTATTCTAATGAATCATTTACCATACTAAGAAGGTGGCTCAGTATGACGATTTTCTTATTACATGAACATTGACAATGTGAATGTATATAATATGGCCTATTACTAATATCTGTTCACACTACTTTTGACTTTTGCAATTGATTTTTTTTGATTTTTTGTTTGCAATTTTTCAGCACTACAAACAGGTTCATGGTTTCATTATAATCATGTACTTGGTAGCCGGTGCAAAATTATTATTCCCTTGTATCGTTAAAGGAAATTTTATAGTTTCTTTTGGTGTGCTGGGAAAACAAATTACAATGTAAATACCCTGGCAGGTTAGGTTTGTTTTTTGGTTGTGTAAGTTAGGCCAAATTAAATGAATGCTGATAGCAACCGATTCATTTGAGTGGGTAGCAATATAATTGCCTGTATAATGTTTTATTGTTTTCATCTAACTTCCAGAGGGTCGTTTTCTTGAAACAGCTTAACTCTGGTCTACTTCTTGTAACAGGTAGGCATGCTAGTTTGAACTCATTGAAGATTTTTTTCCTTGAAATTTTATGTCTATTGTACCAGTGCCTATTCTGATTCATGTATTAGATTATTTTTTTTACCTAAGTAACTGGCTTATGTTTGTTTAAAAATTACTTCAAAATATGTCAATGAGGCACCAGACTTATGTTTTATGAGATTTTATTTCTAACAGCCCTAATGAAAATGGTTTATTATAATAATAAAGCTGCTAAAATTATACTTTTGTCTACTTTTTCCAATAGGGCCATATCATTTGAATGGCTGTCCCTTGAGAAGGATCAACCAACGTTACGTGATTGCCACAAAGACAAGGCTGAACATAAAAGATGTTAAAGTCCCCGACAGAGTTAATGATGAGTACTTCCGCAGGCAAAAACTAAGGAAGCCAAAGCACACAGAAGGGGATATCTTTAATACTAAGAAAGAGGTTTGCTGACATATTTATTTTAAGAAGTTCTGACCTATTCACTTTCTTCCTGATAGCTAGAGGGCTAAAATTAGTATGGATGTCTTTTTTTAACCAGACACTATAAATGGACTGCCACCTCCCACTTTCTCTTTAGACATGCAAGGAGAGATGCTGTGCATGCACAGTTCAAGAAACACTAACACTAGGTACATTGTTTAGACCTCACACAAAATTACCTCATGATCAGAAAGGGATAAAAATTCCAATTGCACTTAAGTAGACCGATTCTTGTTTATGTACAAGTAATTGGGGGAAAATGAGTGCTACATTATAGTCAACTTCAAATTTATTTTCATGGTGTCATTTCTTCCATGAAGATGTCTGTTGTTACATTTCTTTTTATTGAACTATGTCTATTGCTATGTCTTTATCATTCCAATTTTTTTATAAAATTATTTTCTCTTGCAGGTTTATGCTGTCAATGATGAAAGAAAAGAGGATCAGGCATCTGTTGATCGACAGCTGTTGGATGCTATCCGCAAAAACCCAGAAAAGAAACTATTGTTTGGTTATCTTGGAGCATTGTTTTCCCTGACCAACAATCAGTTCCCACACAAAATGGTGTTCTAGACCTAATTATTATGACTCATTTAATAAAGTTAAAAATGGAACTTAAGACTCAGTGTTTTTATACTACTTTAATTTTTAATGCATTGTTTTGTTGCTGTTCTTATGAGTTATTGTAAATTTTTATTTTCTAAATAAGTAAAGTACCGTAATATGAGTCTTAGTGTTATGTTAACACCCCACACACACTAGCTGATATTGAATTAACACTATTCAAATTTAAAATTGTTACCTTTGGAGCTAAACCTGATAAATGGATGTCTTCAGCTACCAGTATCTGTATGGGGTATTATTTCTGGCCTAGTCATTGTTGCTTTTGGAGAGAAGGGTGGGGTGAAGCAGAGAGAATGTAAATATGTAGCCTGACTAATAGTCAAAATATTAACCACTGGAATTTTGATGGAAAAAATAGTTTTATTTGATGCAAAATTTTGTACTGGGTACCTGGAAAAATTGGATGTAATAATGTAATGTTATTAATTTTATTCAATTTTCTGGGATAACATTAAAATATTTCTAAATGGTATGGTACCAAATGTTTTCACACAAAGGGTACCAGTACCAATACATTTCACGTATTATGAGATTTTTTTAAGTCCTTAATTAATAGGCAGCAATTTAGAAATACAATTTTTCTTATACTAATTGTATTATTATAGTTGTAGAGGCCCTTGTAATATGATTTAGTACTTTAGTTCTCTAAAATTTATAAAGTTAGTACTGTATATAAGTTCTACAAGAGGGAATTATAATTTGCTGCTCCGGTGGAGCATAACCACGTTCCTCCCCTATTCGCAAATAGTCGACCTAAATTATGTCTAGAATATCGTCGGAAAAATTAGATTTTTAGAAGCACAGAAACATGTTCGGTGTCACTAGGCTAGCGGTTACTGTTGTGATATATTGAACTGGCGAGTTGTGAAGTGTCCGAGAGGGCAGCAAGATTGCCATCTTGGATACTTAATTTCAGTAAAGTGATATTTGATGTGATCTTGAAATAAAGTAATCAAGTCAACATCTTGTGATCTATACAAATTATTACCTGTACATTAAAATAAATTGAAGGGGTAGCTATATCAACTTTTATCTTTTTTGGGGGGTCAATTTTGATCAACAGCGAAATTAAGATGTAGCGAATAATTTAAATTTTATGATGAGAAACTAAATTCAGGTTTGCGCCCAAGTGCATCCTTGTATATTATTTATTAATCAACAATTTTCTGGGTAGGGGTCTGAAGCATCCTCCGGCGCACACACGCTTACTTTGGCTCAATTTTCAGACTTCGACCCAAGTGCCGCTTTTTCTCAGAATCAACATTATTTTTTTTAAAAATAGTGTTAGTAATAAATAAAAATAATTAAAACTTGAATTTGATTAATTGTAACTGATATGCAGTCTAAGTCTACTGCATTGGCCTGAGGGGGTGGTCAGCCCTGAATGGCATTTAATTTATTATACGGTATTGAGGGGTGACATTTCGGGCAATTGCCAAAACTTTTTCGTTTAGGTTGAAGGGAGTCGAAAAAATATTGGCCCACCATGGAAGCAGCAAATTTAGCTACGCCACAACTCATACATTTTAAATAAAATATTTTAGAAAAGGGGGTGGGGGATTGTTGACTGACGAGGTGCCTACGGTGGTCTTAACCCGGCACTGTATGTATGATAAACCACCAGCAACGTCAACCGGCTACTTTAAAAACGTGACGGCTGGAGATATGTGCCGTTGACAACCCCTCGTACGTGTCAAGATGCGGAAGTTTCATTAGTCTACAGTGTTACTTTTGGTCATACAATCCCGATATTTCCTACTTTTTAAACAAAGCATTTTTAATATAAGTGCCCCGAGACTGAGAGAAAATAAAATTTTGTCTCCGGTTGTGCGTGTGCGCTTTAAGTTTAAGCTCTCCTAATTATAAAACACAAATGGCCGAAGTTATGGATATTTGTGTACTTGTACTCTTGTATTTAGAAAATTAGAAATAGTCCATGTCCGGCAACAAATACATGCAATATCAAGCAGATGTGATTTCAACACCAGACTTAGTTACAACCTAAAATCAACAATACTTGAAATAAAACCTAGTAAAATATGCCAAGCCAAATGGGAAACGACGGTACACTATTTTATTGAATCCAACTTTTATCTAGACAATCAACACCATAGAAAATAAATCGTCTAATTCAAGACTCTAGGACTGCAACTACCCTACTATCACTATCATAGTATCTATAAAAAATGTCTTAGTTTAGTATTAGTACTATTATACTACTGATTACTGACTGAGGCTGTACCGAGTTTGAAGTCTGAAGCTAGTAGTGTACTGAACTGCAACTGGGCTAATGTTGAGTACACACCCCTGACGTCATGTCATTTGCGTGTTTAATTATAGTTGCTTTGAATTTGAATTAGGGTTTAGGTTAGGTTGAGGGATCAATTTAGGGTTTAGGTTAGGTTGAGGGATCAATTTAGGGTTTAGGTTAGGCATAGGGATCGATTTAGGGTTCAGGTTAGGCATAGGGATACATTTAAGGTAGGTTTAGTGACGGAATTAACTGGTTGTGTCAACCAAGATGGTGGAAACCCTGGGGAGATTTCTCAACATTTACCGTGTATAGTATAGTAATAGTAATAGTACCATAGGCCTAAAAATTACGTTACTTTACTACTTTGGCTTTATAAGTAGTAAGTAGGCTTACTAGTATTATTATTATTTAATTTAGGTTGTTATTAAGGCACTACTCGTGGCCTTGGACATTTAACATTTCAGATATTTTTGTATACTTGTATTATTTGTTGTTTGTACTGTTCACTGAAGAAGCCTTCTTGTAGAGCCTTCTTATTTGTTGCGTCTATCTTTCAGGTTTTCCCATACTTTTATTTTACATACTTCCTTCTTCCAAACCCAATTGCAGTCTCTTTCCCACCCCCACCCCCTTATTATCATGCTGAACTGTTATTGAATATAGGTCAAGAGCTATTTTATGTTATGTTGTAATTAAAACGTTGGTGTAGTGAGTGAGTTAAAATTGTTGTTGAAAATAAAACTTTATTTTAATTCAAGAAGAAAATAAGTAAATAATTAAAATAAGTTATGATATTAATTGGTATTAAAATCTGGTGGCAAAGTAATTGTATATGGTAGACTATGACAATTTTATTATTCAATTGGGGAATAAAGAAAATCATAGTAGGTAATTTGATACTTTCTAAGCACAATCAATTAGTCGTTAAATGAGGACAATATGCTTGAAACTTTTTTGCACAAAGTTTTATATTGACTTCTTTTCTTTTCCAATCATCATCACACATGTCATCAAATTTAGACACCCTCACATTACATCTTCATATACCGGGTATTTGTGACCCCCTTCCCACTTAATACCTGACATCATCTATGGATGGCCCCTATAGCAGCTAGGCTACACGGCTAATGTAGGCCTACAAAATTAAATATACCGGTAGTCTCTTATTAACTCCCATAACTAACTTAAGCCCAGCCAGGATTTATTGTTAATCTGTATTTGTAGTTATGTAAGCCTACTAGGACTGATGATCAGTACCGGTATATCAATTTTCAATTCATGAACTTGATTATCAAGTTACATGGCTATAGCCAAATCACCTGAACTTCTATAGTCCAAACCAACAGAAGCAGATTTCCCACATGTGTAAAAGAAAAACCTATTCCAAAATTGTAAAAAGATCTGTACGAGTACGGTACTTAAAGTTTTAAATCCATCATTACCTTTGAATTGTTTAAAAATTTGTCATAATTTTCTTTGCAAGTGAGGAATTCTTAGGTAAGGTGACTTTATTTTTGTTTTGAAACCAAAGGAACAAAAATTACACAGTAAAATAGAATCATAGTACCAAGTAGAGTTTGCAAATTCAGTTTTTTCCCCTTTGATTTCTTTCTGGTCAATGTTTAACACACAGTACAGCCTACTTCACACTGGTTACTGCAAGTCTACACACATTATTATTCATACTTGCTACTGCAAGTCTACTGCTACTTGAATTATTTTCTTTTTTTTATCACTATTAAAATGCCTCTTCCTCATCTAACAATATATATCTCATTGGGACTTTATTTGTGAAGCATGAAACTGTTGGCCTTATAGTTCTTATTCCAGTTTTTTAGACAGAGTTGTGAATATGTAAGATTTCTTACAAAAATGCGCTAGTTTAAAAGATGATCTGGTTAAATTAGTCTGTTACTTGTGGCAGAGAAGACTTCAACTTCAATGAAATTTGGGTTATGGAGATTTCACTAGATTTTCTGGTCTTCCTAATGGCAATTATAGGATTATCACAATTGGTTAACATAAATGTGAATTTTTTTAAATGTTTTAGATGTCCTGGTGTATTTCACAACATTGATGAAAGAAAACTCTGGGATGTCTTCAGCAGTTGCTGCAATAAAAACACTTGTCAGACTCATGGAAAATAATGATGGTGAGCTGGAAAAACCCCCAACCCAAATTGAACTAAAGCTTGCAGCGTATCTGCTTTCTTACATTAGAGAGTACCGTAATTTTTATTTGGATAGTGCCAACTTCTGATTATAAATCTCGACTTATTTTTGTATTACGTAAAATTGTTACCCTGTGGTGGCACGTTTTTCTCAATATGGGGGTGGGCGGCATTTTCTAAGTGCAATCAAAAGGGATTTTAGGGACTATACTTCATTTGCCATAACATTATTTTATCATCTTCTTATTATGCGATACTGGAACTCTGAAAAGATTGGCCTTATTCTAATCATTGTAATAAACTTTTAATCGTGATCAAGTTAAATAGAAATATTGAGAGGGGGGGGGGGGCAGAAGCAAATGAACAAAACGATCCTTACCATAAGGGGAAAGTCAAACAAAAGTCTGGTATTTTAGATATCTTTTCTTTTGATGAGGTGGGGTGAAATGACATAACAATTTGAAGGTAGGTCTATGTGACAGCTATAATAATATTCCGGCTATTCTAAAACAACAAAGAATTAAGCATTAGCCTTCCTCGCGCACAAAAATTCAGTTAAAAATTTATTAAGAGTTAAAAACAAACAAAAATTAGAAATAGCCTACAACTTCGAGACGTTAGGACCCAGGAGAAGCAGTCATTTAATAAAGATTTACCTTAAAAAAGATTACCTTTAAATGCAGCCATTGTTATTTTATGTATATAATTAGAAAGTACAGTTTTTTTATTAGTCAAGGCCAATAAATCTCTTTGATATTCAAATGACTTTTTAAGTCGCTCCTCTGGAATTGTTGCCCAATAGACATGGTTTCTCTTGGTATTATAGCAAATCCACCACTGCAATTATGACTTTGAAAATGATCATGATGCATGTTGAGAGTAAGGCCTTTGAAGTTCTGGGTAAAGTCAACATATGGACACATAGCTGTCCATGCATTGTCAATAAATACCCTTCAATGTTTGCCATTATTTTAATACAGGTATGAAAGAAGTTAGAGACTGCTTCTTTTGCCATTCAGCCCTGATAATATAAAACTCACTTGACACACTTAGACAGCAGTATATATAATATATCAAATGCTGTTTTTGTGACGGTAAGTGCCGTTAGTGATATCGGCACCTTTTTTAAAAAAAAATTCATTTACTGATGAAGACGTGTAAACCATTTAAAAAGTACAATAGTTTTAAAATAGCTTAAAGAAATATTTAAAAACAAAATTACTATTTAGTAACAACTAAAAATGTAGGATTTGTACAAATCCAACTATGTCAAGGGGGACACCTAAATTTAATAGCATTTCTTCTGTTGCTCTTCGATTAAGTGTGGGGTGATACAAAGTTATACACGGATTATACGCCAGAAAGAATTCTTGTATATTGAAATGATAAAAAAAATTTCAAGTGAGCGTCTCAGTGAAGCCTCCCCTCTACCCCCCCCCCCCTACCACACCTTGGGCTTGGGAGCCTTTGGGGCCCCTGATTTTCATCCCACCCCCTTCCCCCCGATCAATGCCAGAAAGAATTCTTGTATATTGAAATGATAAAAAAAATTTCAAGTGAGCGTCTCTGTTAAGCCTCCCCTCTACCCCCCCCCCCCTACCACACCTTGGGCTTGGGAGCCTTTGGTGCCCATGATTTTCATCTCACCCCATTCCCACAGATCAAAGTGACTTTCTGGCACTTTTCTATAAACAATGAAACCTGGAAATAACTCAAACCCTTGGGGCCGAAGCAAAAGTGATGCTATGAACATGTTCAGCCAGTGTTCAGAAATTATTCCGTGATAGGAAAAGTTAGGGCATATGCGAGGGACAGCGCTATTTCAACGTTTTTGGGTATTACCAGGTTTCTCTGTACCAAAAAGGACTATAAATATTTATATATACTTCGGGGCGGGACGGGGGGGACACTAAAGTCCGGCCCCGGGTGACACAGTGTCTTGCTGCTTTACCAGATGTTTGTCACATTTACAGTTTGACTTTGAAGATTTGGTCCTGCATTATAATTTTAGCATTAACATTGAATGTGGTCGGGGCTAACTGTCCAATTAATTAAATAAAATTTAATCAGAAATTGATGAGAAAATGCTAATTTGTTGTGATAATTTATTAATATTTTGTCTTTGGTATTTCTACATTCTTGTCCTTCTCATTCTTTTTCTAAAAAATTTCAACCTTATATAATTCTTTAGCTGGCACTCTATCAGAACTTCGAGATACTATGATTCAAGCTAAAGAGGAAATGTTGAAGACAGACTATAGTTATGCATCTATACATTCAGGATGTGAGCAGTTCCTACGCTATATTACTCTTGCTAATTTGGATGACGTATGTATTGATAAAAAAAATTAAGATTTATATTTAAAAGTAAGAAAATAATGGTATTGTAAGTTATTTCAAACCATTAATCATTTCATTAAACTGAATGACACTCTCTCTATAAAATTTGACAAAATACAAAACATACTTCAACTTCAAAAATTTAAAAAATTCAGAGTGAAACAGCTTAATATAATCTGAAGGATACAAAATTAAAAGAAACGATTAAAGTATGGGGCCATTAAAATATTGTCACCCATCTCTGTTGGGGTGGGTTGGGGGAGTCACAAATATATCATGTATAATAAGGGTGTTAAAATTTTGAAAAATATGCTCACCCTCAAAATCACAGACACAATCATCAAAAAGTCCTGCAAGGCTTGTTTTTGCACATCATGGTATTTCAACAAACAAAAAGAATCATCCTTTTTTTTTTTTTAACAATAAAATTTAAACTTAATAAGTCTCAGGGTCGGATTAATTAAAATTTCATTCTAGTTATTTAAATCCAGATTTTTCGTTTACTATCTTTTAATAACTTTTATGAGTCCTTACATCTATTGCTTTAAAAAATACTCAACTGTAATGGAAATTAAACACCTCACTCTTAGAATATTTAGGCCTTGCACTAGTCATTTAATTACTGATATAATTTCATGTGTCATACAATAATCTAAATTGTAATTAAGAACTTAAAGAAGTTTTAAAAATTACATTTTTAGTTACATTGGATTAAGTTCTCTGCTTTTCTGTGTATATCTCTCTCAGACTTTCAAAAAGATTATGCTTGAAAGAGGCAAAGAATTTGAGTCTAAGATGGTTAATGCAAGAGCTCTTATTGCTAAATTAGCGTCAGCATTCATTGATGATGGTGCCGTAAGTATAAATTATAAATTAAACATTTAAACCATGCCGTCTCAGCAATTTTAGACAGAGAGCCTTGGGCCAAATAATTTTTGCTGGAGCCCTCATACAAATTTGAGCCTATTATAATCAGCCTACAACAAGTAAAAGTCTTTTAGAACTTGCATCTTTATGAAAATTTCTAAGTGAAAATCCATTTTCCTTATATTTATATACTATACCCACTTGTGCAAAGGTTGCTCTTACAAAATTCAAGGATTTTATCAGCATATATATTTAGTTGTGACCTGAAAGCGCATGCATCAATGTAAAATAGCCGGTTAATAAATTTAGCTTTTGAAAACGATACAATGAAGAAATTGCATTATCATTAAGAATGTCACAGGTTTAATTTTTATCAAATGGCTATTGCTTGGAGATGTCTATCTAAAATTTAGCAGTTTCTTCCCCTTGAAATACAATACATCTTTATGAGTGCCGGTACGATATATTAAAATTTGCTCTAGGATCTTCTTTCTATCAAAGTCTACTTTGCAACTGTTTATTTTATTTTCCATTCTTCTGAAAAATTTTCAGAGCTCTAGTTGTTTATGAATGATGCCATCTTGTATTAAGATGATCACAAATATAGTTATAAAAAAATGTCATAATTTATTTTAGGAAACTGAAATAAAAGTAATTGACTTTTCTTGTGTTAAATTAATCTCCAGGCAATTTTAACACACTGTCACTCAAGGGTAGTGCTTGAAGTCATAAAGGCTGCAGCCAATCAGAAGAAAAGGTTCACCGTTTATGTCACAGAGTCAAATCCAGATAAAAGTGGGTCAGTTCCAATTTTCTTCTTAGACTTTGACATGCTATGCATTATTGTGAACTGTAACGGTTGGATTATTCTTCTGGATATTTTGGACCACTTAAATACAACATCAGTTAAAAGCATAAAGATTTAACCATTTTTGTAGTTTTGAAAAAAAAATCATTATGCTTTTAAATATAAATTTTAAACATTTTGTATAAATTGTCACATATTTTTGTAAGTTGCTATATAATTTAGACATGAAATAAATGTTGAAACTAATTGAACTCATTGTATCATGGTGCCCTCCCCACTATTAAATTTATGGTGCCTTCCCCACTGTTATTTTATGGCGCATCCCTGTAATTGTGCCTTCTCTTTATGAAGGAAATTTACCGTTCAAGCTTTCCACCTAATTTTAATTAGTGTTGATAGAATTACTTAAAAATTTTCAATTTAAATTGTGCAATATTTTTTTTGCTATTTCTTTGTCAAGTTATAAAATGGAGAAGGAACTCTCAAAGCTCGGAATTCCAACAGTTGTAATTCTAGATTTTGGTATAGGGTAGGTAACTCAACATGTCAAGTCTGTTTAACTTTATCAGGTTAATTTTTAAATGCCTTGTAACTTTCTGTGTGGGGAAAAATAGGTCAAGGAAATTAAATTTAATTTATTCCTTTTAATAAACAAATATACATTTGTGTACAGATTGTTCTATAGAAAAAAATATTTTGCTTTTGAATCCTACTTCCAGCTACATTATGGAAAAAGTCCAGATGGTGATGGTAGGAGCTGAAGGAGTCATGGAGAGTGGAGGCATTATAAATAAAGTATGTCATTATAAATTAAGTATGTCATTATAAGGCATTACAAATAAATTTTGTCAGTTTAGACACTAAAATCTCAGTCGCAAACTTCCTGGATTGGAAGCAAAGCGTCTCTCAAATATGCTTGTATCTGTTGTCACTCTGAATATAATATTGTTAATAGGTTGTGCGAATTTAGACTTAGTGCCATTTTTCATACAGTTATAATCTACAAGAATTGAGATTTGAAATAGCATTTCATAGTGTAAATTTGTGACTTGTTTGTTAGACTTGCTGGCCAACCTGCTTCAAATTTAATTTGTTTTGTGGGATTGAGCAACAATTAATTATACATATAATAATATATGTTTTACTTTAGATTGGGACCTATCCAATAGCCATTTGTGCAAAGCAAATGAACAAGCCATTTTATGTTGTGGCAGAAAGTTTCAAATTTGTCAGAGAATTACCCCTGAACCAGAAAGATGTCCCCGATAAGTTTAAGGTAAGATTTTAAAAGCTGTCCTTTTAGAAGCACACACTTATATAACATGCTGATGGCCCATTTCTTTGCATATATTATACAGCAAGTTATTATAATCCAAAAACAGATGATAATTTATTTCAAGACAGTACTTAATAGTCTTTATTTTTTTTTTTTACTCTTATCCAAGTTCCAATATCCACTTGCTTATCAGCATCACCACAGGTTTTGATGACCCCCCTTGCTTTGCCCAAGTCTGACAATCTGATAGAGCACCAGCCCAAAAACAGCTGTTTTGAAATATCTTTCTGTTATTTCTTTAAAGCATTATTTCCAAACTTTGTGATACTACTGCGCCCCTCTCTCCTTAAAAATACCCCCCCCCCCCCCCCCCAAAAAAATTATTGGTGACCTCTTTATTCTGTAAACAAAAGAGGTATTTGGAAATATTTAACTTCTGAGCCATCCTCTGTTCGTGACCCTCCTCTGTTCATGACCCCACTCTGCTCATGACCCCACTCTGTTAGTGACCCTCCTCTGTCAGTGACCCTCCTCTGTCAGGGATCCCTCTCTTTTGATGACCCCCTATGTTGGTAAGCCCCACCTGTTGGTGAACCCTCCCCCCCCACACTGTTGATGACTACCCTCTGTTCATGCCCCCCTCTAAGAGGTTTGCAAGCCCCAGTTTGGGAGAACTTTAATTTAAAGTATGACAGATCTTTCTTTTTCTCTCCACCAGTATCGGACGTCAACGTTTAAAACAACAAAAGACTTAAGCAAAGAGCATCCTATAGTGGACTATACACCCCCAGAGTACATTGACCTTTTGTTTACAGACTTGGGTGTGCTGACATCATCAGCTGTTAGCGATGAGCTCATCAACATGTACTGCTAACTCTTTTATAGGAAAAAATCTTTTTGGTGATCGAGGGGGTCATCAAATGTTAATTTCTGTGCTATTATTAACGTAAGACTAATGTGTTAATTCATGCATGCAGAGATCCTCATGGCGCTGACAAGTCTTCTGTTTGGGTGCTGTCCCCTGTGAAGGACTCTGTTGTTTTTACCGCCGTGTAAATAAGGTACCCCACAATGTGTGGGAACATCAATAAATAAGAATAATAAAATTTGTAGAATGTATTTGTAATTTTTTAAGGCTCATTGTCAACACATCTCTTTCTACCTGGCACAATGTCAGCTTCTCATTCTACCTGGCACAAAGTTAACATTTCTCATTCTACCTGGAAAAATGTCAACATGTCTCGTTCCACCTGGCACAATGTTAACACATCTATTTCTACAGAGTGCAATGTTAGCATGTGTCTTTCTACCTAGCACATTGTGAACATGGTGCCTTAACATGGCTCATTCTACCTGGCAAAATGTTAACTCTACAGAACACAATGTTATCATGTTTCTTTCTACACAGAACAGTGCTAACACTAACATGCCTCTTTCTACGTCTAGCTTGTGTTTTCAAATATGTCTGTCGGGTCTAGTCACTTCCTGGCTTCTGGACATTTTCAGAAAGGATAACTTCATGAAAAACTGTGAAATGGACTCTTATGGTCAGCAAAACTCAATGAGCTAGAAATTCTTGAGTTACAAAAATTTTAGCCACAGGCGTAAGTAAAACATCCATACTGTTAACATTAGAGTAACATTATATCAACACTAGAGTAACATTACGTCAACACTAGAGTAACATTACATCAACATCAGAGAAACATTATATTAACATTAGAGTAACATTAAATCAAAATTAGAGTAACAAATCAACAGAGTAACATTATATCAACAAAGTAATATTATATCAAAATTAGAGTAACATTATTTATCAACATTAGAGAAACATTATACCAACATTGGAGCATGTATCAACACTCCCCAGCATATTTCACAGTAATAGAGTTTCAGTTTTGCTGAGCTCTCATGAATGAAATTCAGGAGTTGGCTGCTTGTCTGCAAGTACAGGATGTCTTTAAAGAGAATATATTAACAATACATTACTTTGCTTGTGTAACTGCTTTATGTAGAATTATGTACTCGTTAAACATAAAATAATAATTTTTATTATAGGAAGAGTCTTAAAGTGCATGTTTATTAACAAAGGTAGGTTTTTAAATCAAATACAGTATACACTAATTTAAAAATTCTGCGCAAGACAGCCAAATGATGAAACTGCAATTAAAAGTCCCAATCAAGAGAAAATAACTGAAATATTTCACATCTCGTGTGTTGTCAAATAATAATATTATAGTGTAAACCAGGTTTTCAAGTTTTATCATAGCTTATTGTGTTATTTTGTTATAAATTAATAATAAATATTAAAAATTAATTAATATAAAAAAAATGGGTGCAGGGTGGCCGTGTGGTCTTAACTGAATCAATCCCAAGTTCATGGTCTGGGGTTCAAAGCCCAGTCAAGCAAAAAACATTACCAGCATCCTGGGTGGATGGGACTCCATAACCTTGGATGGCAACTTATCTAAGAGAAGGAAGCTCTGAATTCAAACCAGGAGATAGAGTCTCGTAAGCGGATAACATAGATTGACAAAAATGAAAATTCCTGACAACTCCAGTGACGCTACTGGTGCCACGTTGTATCATCCACATATGATAGGCCCTTGGGTTATCAAGGTTTGTGGAGAGAGGAGACTTGCTGTGCAGGGAACCAGCTTATCCTTCTAAAGAATCATCCCAGGCCTTGGGATTTCTTCCTGCAAAGTCTACTCCATCTTTCACATTGTGACGGACGTATGCCAGAAAAATATTGATACATTACAGCAATATAGGCTATATCAAATATCATACAGTCATACAGCAACTGACACGATCATGTGGGTAGCAATGGGACTAACAAATAGCATACAGCAAGATACACGATCATATGGGTAGCAATGGGACTAACAAATTCCATACAGCCACAGTGCAGCAGTGATGGTACATCTAATTGTATAGAGAACTATATACACAAGAGACTCCGTCCACATGCAATTCGTCAATATTGAGCCACACACAACCACCATCAGCACCATATATTCACTCATTAACTCGCCACACTTTCACTCACTAACTTACCATGTATTCACTCACAAACTAACCATATTTTCACTCCACTCACTAACTAACCATGTATTCACTCACTAAGGCACCACACTCTCACTCACGTACTTACCTTGTATTCACTCACTAACTCACCACACTTTCACTCCACTCACTAAATTACCATGTATTCACTCACTAACTCAACACTCTTTCATCGCTAACTTACCACGTATTCGCTCATTCACTCACTAACTTTCCACTCGTTCATTCCGTAGCCCAACACTTATTTGCTCACTCAAACATCACACTCGGTAGAAGATCAAGGGGTTTGAACCTCTCACTCAAACATCACACTCAGTAGAAGATCAAGGGATTTGAACCTCTCACTCAAACATCACACTCAGTAGAAGATCAAGGGGTTTGAACCTCTCACTCAAACATCACACTCGGTAGAAGATCAAGGGGTTTGAACCTCTCACTCAAACATCACACTCAGTAGAAGATCAAGGGGTTTGAACCTCTCACTCAAACATCACACTCAGTAGAAGATCAAGGGGTTTGAACCTCTCACTCAAACATCACACTCGGTAGAAGATCAAGGGGTTTGAACCTCTCACTCAAACATCACACTCAGTAGAAGATCAAGGGGTTTGAACCTCTCACTCAAATATCACACTCAGTAGAAGATCAAGGGGTTTGAACCTCTCACTCAAATATCACACTCAGTAGAAGATCAAGGGATTTGAACCTCTCACTCAAACATCACACTCGGTAGAAGATCAAGGGATTTGAACCTCTCACTCAAACATCACACTCGGTAGAAGATCAAGGGGTTTGAACCTCTCACTCAAATATCACACTCAGTAGAAGATCAAGGGATTTGAACCTCTCACTCAAACATCACACTCGGTAGAAGATCAAGGGGTTTGAACCTCTCACTCAAACATCACACTCAGTAGAAGATCAAGGGGTTTGAACCTCTCACTCAAATATCACACTCAGTAGAAGATCAAGGGGTTTGAACCTCTCACTCAAATATCACACTCAGTAGAAGATCAAGGGGTTTGAACCTCTCACTCAAACATCACACTCAGAAGAAGATCAAGGGATTTGAACCTCTCACTCAAACATCACACTCGGTAGAAGATCAAGGGGTTTGAACCTCTCACTCAAACATCACACTCGGTAGAAGATCAAGGGGTTTGAACCTCTCACTCAAACATCACACTCAGTAGAAGATCAAGGGGTTTGAACCTCTCACTCAAACATCACACTCAGTAGAAGATCAAGGGGTTTGAACCTCTCACTCAAACATCACACTCGGTAGAAGATCAAGGGGTTTGAACCTCTCACTCAAACATCACACTCAGTAGAAGATCAAGGGGTTTGCACTGCAAATATTCAGTGGATACAATAATAAACATATTAATGAGGCTTCCATTATTAAATTGCACACTTTCGCATTATGGAAGCCACCGAGACCCCATCCTTTTCTGTGACATGTACAAATATAAGAACCATTCTTTATAATCTCAACGATCGTGTTGTACCTTGAACAACTCTTACATATTTCCAGCCATCCACATTAGCAGTTATCGCTCCCAGACGCCCACAAGTTCAGTACGTCTTCTACTCCCCCACAGCTCTACATGTATGTTTTTCAGGGGCTCTTAATCTTTTTTGAAGCGCCCCTCCTCTCGATTTCAAAGAAGTTCACACATCACCTTCACCCCGTGCTTACCCCTGGCTAAGAACCTCCGCATATCACCATCTCTATCATTACAACCATCACTACCACAACCATCTTCATTATGACCAGCACATGAATCGATTTTTGGTCCCGAACCTCGCAAAAAACAAAAAAATCCCAACTCGAAATCAAAGTGAAAACAGGAACAATTTTTATGGCTACCTAGCCGAGGGAAGTTTAGTTTCAGGCGAAAAGACGATGTGATTATGTCTAATCCCGCCATGAGCGCCGGAAGGCGAGAAGACCTCCAAGGGGGACGATTGACATGGCGCAGTAACATTTCTACGGCATTATCGATTTTCACTCAGTCGGTTGATGTCCCGGTATATCGTATGATTACATCCTGTGCAGATGGTTTTCTAGGGGTCGGAGACGCTCCCTCGATAATTCCTCCGGCCGGGTAATTCGTTTTAATGATGTCACAAAGGGCAATGAAAATTGACCATGACCAGCCGAGGAGACCCGACATGTTCGGGGCTCAGTGCGGACAAGCCCGCGGTGCCATGGTTAAACTGATTTGTCAACACAGAGAGAGAGAGAGAGAGAGAGGGGAGAAGAGAGAGAGACAGAGAGATATACAGAGAGAAGAAAAAAATCAGAGACATAGATATTTGTCCATCCCACACGTCTCCAATTGGTTTTGCTAGTTTTCGTTGGAAGTATTTACTGTCCCTTTTTTAACGTTTAGAATTGGGCTTTGAGCCCTACGACGTGTTCTGAAAATGACGTCTGGTCACTAACCTGGGGCGACAACCTTGCGCGTGTGGGCGGGGGGAAAGATTTGTTACCATGACAACAGACCTTTCAGTCGATTAGCAAGAGTGGTCGGGTAAGTTCAAGAATAGCTCCGCGACTTAATGAATCGCTCCGTGAGTTAATGGATAGCTCCTTACGGAACTTTTGTCTTAAACTATTTTTTTCTTTTACATGCATCATGTAGAATTCAAAGGATATGAGTGAAACAAAGTATTGGAAAAACTGAAGGAAGAAAAAAAAAAGACTCAACAAAACAACGAACGTGTCAGCAAAAAGCCTTCTTCATCGAACAAACAACAGTACAAAAAATAATAATAAACACTTCGATACAGTGAAGTATCCAAGAGAATTCAAGGCAGGACTGCGACGACGCTGATACAAAACAAACACATCTATGTTGCAGTTACAGCGTAAATTTAAAGGAGAAAAAGCAACAACACTACGTCCATGTCTCTGTAGCCTAACCCATAATTATACGAATGATTCCAGTGAATTGTTAGCGATATAGATGGACTCGATCTGTCTCAGTTTTAAGCCCTATAGGGCAATTATTATGGTTCTGGTAAAGGTCTGCTATAGCTTTTCCGCCTCTTAATAAAAATAAAATCGGATACAATTCTCGTCGCTATATAAATATTTAAAGTTCATAGCCCACAGCACGAATAAGATCCATCTTGTAAGAGGATCGATGTTTCAGAATTATACTCAGATTTATATCTTTACTCAAATGCACAGTCATTTGCTTGAAAGAGGGGCGACGGAACTAACCCTGGCTACACCACTGGCAAGATGCTCAGTACTTGAAAAGAAAAACAATGACAAATAGAAACTGTTCTCAAACAATTGTGGGATGCATGATGCCAACTTGGTGACTCAAGAGACTCGTCACATCTACATGCGTAGTTATTACGCAAATATCTTACAATATGAAAACATGTAAACAAATAAATTATATTGCTAATGAAGAAGAGGCGAAGAAATGAAAACATTTCTTCTTCTTGTTGTTGTTTTTTTTTTTCGCAAGGCGAATGTTAATATAAGAGTACTGTAACTATAAGACGCATGCCAACATTTAAAAGATAATGTGATTGGCGAAAGTAAGTCACATGATCAAATATGTCGTCACTCAGCGTACCCGAACGGTTCTTTCCATTCATCGTTTTGTGTCTGCGGTGAGTGTGAGTAAATCCAGCCAGTACTCTTCTCCCACGTGTTGGCCAGGGTAAAACCACTTGGTGAGCACTTGTTGGATTACTTTTATTGATCCTCGAACACATTTTAATATAACCGTAAAATTACTGCATAGGTTTTAAAGAAATAATTGGGAATGTTTTATATTTAAGGCATTACTGAGATAATTTTTAAAATAGATGTATAATTTGTACGTAGATCGCGAGTGCGTTGTGTTAAGTGCGCATGACGTAGTGGGAAGAGAGGGTGAGTGAGGTGGTTGGGGGGGGGGGAAAGAAAGTGGGGGGGGGTTGTAATGCTGTTTACCGTTCCAGTCGTGGCAGTGAGTTGAGGCTACGAGAGTTCGGTTCGTTCCTTCTGTGGAGAGTTTCTAAGAGGCTAAACGAAACAATTCCGTTGTATAATTTGTACGTAGATCGCGAGTGCGTTGTGTTAAGTGCGCATGACGTAGTGGGAAGAGAGGGTGAGTGAGGTGGTTGGGGGGGGGGGGAAAGAAAGTGTGGGTGGGTTGTAATGCTGTTTACCGTTCCAGTCGTGGCAGTGAGTTTAGGCTACGAGAGTTCGGTTCGTTCCTTCTGTGGAGAGTTTCTAAGAGGCTAAACGAAACAATTCCGTGTTCTAGGATTCTTCGCATTTCAACTTTGGTCACATGAATTATTGACCCACCAAGACTGGCCCTCTGTGGGTATGTATTAAACTAGATGGCTAACTGTAATGCCGTGGTATAGTTGTGCCAGATGTAACTCTGCAATAGAGCTTTATAATATAAATAATACATAAGTTATAAGTTAGCCTACTTAAAACGACTTTACTTATTTACATTTTAATCAGCAGGTTCAAACTTTTGACAACACGCTCTCATACACATCCTTGAATGTATTATATACTGTAGTAACATATAGCACTCAGTCACAGCTTGTAAACACCTTGAACACATTTCAAATTGTATTTAAAGGGACTTATTAATCGATATTCACCACTATCAGATATCATATGGTAATATCAAGATTAATAAAGATATAAGTGCTGTGTAGGGTGGGATATAGTTCTGATAAAGATGTTACAGGTGAAATAGTTCTTTTAATTTTTTTATATATATTTTTTTTTGGTAGTGAATGACACGAAAATGTTAGCGGCTTAACCCCAGCCAAATATTCTGCCATCTCACTCCACACTCTCTCTCGCCTCACCCCCCCCTGCTCTCTCTCACACCCCTACCATCCACAGCCCAGTGTTGTATCAACTCACGCCCTTTCAAAGCTAGAAAGTCAACAAAATTATAGTCACAATCAAAAAGACTATAGGTCAATGTTCCCTGTAAGGTTTGTTGGTTCGTGTGCAAAATCATACATTTGTGTGCAAAGTTTTACAGCATCAATTTTTTTTTGTGCAAAATTTTACAGCCCTTAACACAAACACACACTTATATGGAAATTTGCTGCGCGGGACCTCAAAACTGCTGCGCGGCGTCTGTGAAATAGCTGCGCGGCCGCGCAGCTTAAAGGGAACATTGCTATAGGCCTATGTTTTATTTACATTTTGTGGGGGAGAATTTGAAGCGTTTGTAAAAGTCGTGAACAGCGTTAAACTTGATATAGATACTCCTAGTAAACCAAGTATTGTTGATCGTCCTTCGCACGCGAAGATGACCAAGGCAATTTTCGAATTGAGTAGCAGTAAATTGTTTAAATTGAGGGAGAGTTGCTCAATTCGTCAGACTCACTCAATCGTCCTTGGCTATTTGTTATAATGGCAAGACTTAGTCAAAATGATTGGAAATAGACCAGAATGCCGTAGATGACCAGCAGCGTGTCTTATGTGTGTATCACCGTGCTCTTTAGCGTATGCTCTCTAGGTCGCAGGAGTTGTCGGATTTTTCATTGTGTCAATTCATACCGCCTACGGGACTCCATCTCCGGTTTTGATGTCAGTGTTTGCCTTCTCTTAGACGATGATTGCCATCCAGTACACCGGATGTTTTTGCTCGTCTAGGCGTTTTCTGGGGATTGAACTGCAGTAGGACAGCTTGGGGTTGACTCAGTTTTACACCGCTCGGTCACCTGGTAACGCCAAATAATATAGTTCTGGCATGCTACACAAGCTCACTCCGAGTTGCGTTATCAGAATACTCCACAAAACAACGCAAGCTGTCTTAAAAAGGACGGAAGAGATTAGAGCAGAGGCGTGGCTATGGACTATGGTTAGTGCCGCTCGAGGCAGGCCAAGATTTGTTCCCGCCTTCTTCTACGAAAAAAAAAATCCCGTGTTTTTTTGTTGACAGCACTACGGAGAGTTCTAACATTATTTATATTTTGTTTTACGTTTTAAATACCCCAGTCAACGTTCCAATATCACAGCGTTAACTTGCCCATTTCACAGCGTTAACTTTCCAATATCACAATGTTAACTTTCATCTGGAATAATTGACAGATTTTCGAAGGTTGCCGGGAATCCATCGACAGCTGTAAGGTCAGAAAAATGTCTTTCATAGTTTGTTGGATGAGTCAGTTATAACGGAGTTATTTTTAGACCCTAACCATTCTATTTTGAGTCGATCTTCTGATGTTTGGAAATTTTTAACTATTTAAACGCTCTTCCAATAAAAAAAAATTAAAAAGTATTGAAACAAAGATATTGTACCGGACGTGACGTATAGCACTCCTCCTTGCACGCCTGCATCCAGGAGCGTCATTTCAGGGTTTTTTTTTTTTATAAAAAAGGTGGGGGGGGGGCAAAAATCAAAACTTGGTCGGCTTGATACGTTGTTTATTACTGGAGGCACCACAGTACATAACAGTTTAAATAAAACCTGAAAATTCAGGGAGGCGGAGGGGAAATGCCTCACCCTGCCCTACCAAAATGACGCCCCTGCCCGCATCACCGATAAATGTCGCCACGTCGTGAAAATGTTAAAAGTAATCTGTTGAAACTCGACTTTCCCATGGATCTAGTTTCCCGTTTCCGTCCTCAAGTATCGTCTTGAAGAAATGAACCATGAAATCGCGCGCCCTTGTTTCGAGGCGGTTAAGAAAGTAGATCATCGAAATTGCCACCCGGATGTAACTCTAACGAGCAAGTATGACAACTCGAGGAAAAGTTGCGACCAATGTGTCGCCCACAGCCCCAACGGAAACCAACGCTCTTCATTCTGCAACAACATTTTCTAATGGTTGCTTATGATTAGCCCCCCCTTTTCCCCAATTGTTTTATATAGAAGGCTCAAGGCCCGGCCCCCCCCCCCCTTTTATCCAAAAAGTGTCAACATTTGCCTTTTTAAAGATTTATCAGATTTCAATGAGCCCATCGTTTATTTGGGAATTCATTTCTTTTGCTGCCATCGGATTTTCCCGTTGAGGTGTGCACCAAATCTGTTTTTTTACCACATAGTCATATAAAATTATAGCACAAAGGAGATAACTTATGTTAAACAGAGAGTTCGGTTAAACGCACATCTTTTACAAAGCTGCCAAGGCCCCACAGACAGCAATACATATTAGTCGCGTTATCACAGTAATGAATTACGCAAACTATGCAAATATATATATTATATACTAGTTATAACTCGCCAACATACATATATATTCATATATATTTATGAAACTAGATATAGCCCGCCAAACATTGGCGACAGCAATGTTTGAACTTCTCATCTACTAAAGCTACTTGACAAAAGATGAACTCAAGTAAAACACTTTTAAGAATCCCAATTTTTGCTACACCCCTTCCCCCCATGATACGTCACTGCACACTTTTTATTTCACGCCTATGAAGAATATTAAATATTCTGATGTCCCAACCAGTTTTAAACCGAATATTTATCACACCATGTTTTAATTGAGACGATTTCATTTGCCGAAAAGAAAAGATTACGCACCAGGCGCACACTTGTGTTATTTAAAAAAAAAATAAAATAATTTTGCAGCAGTATCGGGAATTACATTGTGTGCGCTATCCGGAAATGGAATCAGTCACACCACAAGCAAAATAAAGATAAGATAACTTCAGATAAGATATAATATAATTTAAGAGACATTGTTAAATTGTTGAATATTTATCAAATTCGATCATGCTTGAGTAGTCCTTGACATAGTTTTAGAGAGCTCTTGAAAGTAATCGACCTATAGTTTTAGAGAGCTCTTGAAAGTAATCGACCTTGGCCTGACATTGCCGGTGACATCAGGTGAATACGGCGTTTTTTGTTTGTTTGTTTGCACGAACACAGTAAAAAAACATCTTAGAAATTGACCTGGAGACGCACGACTCATTAATCTGCTGGCATTTGCATGGTCCCAAGAAGATGCACAAAATGTGAACATTGACGAAGTTACTGAAGATTTTTATCGTTGGATACAAAGACGATATCCTTTGTTTGATTTTTTTTTAGCAAACCGTCGTAGTACATTTAGTATGCTATATTTACAAAACTAGAGTTTGAATACAATTTTAACATCGATTGCAAGTTGCACTGTACAAAATCAAAATAAATATACCAGAACCTAATTTCGAATAATTTCAATCCAATTTAGTGACAAATTGTCGCTGACAATACATTACATGCGGACATGTTGCAGAACTGGCTTGGAAATGCAGACGACACAACTCAACAAGGCGGCCAAATTTTGGTTTTGGCCCCATGATTATATTTTTTTGATAATTATGTGACGCTGTTCGAGTTTTTGAGAGCTCAATGGAGTTGTGTCGCAAAAATTGACGTCACTCGACACTTCTTTCATGCCTACAAGCAAAGCATTAGATTATCTTTTTTTACGAGTATTTTAATTTAAAAAAAAATTAATAATTCAATTATGATTTACCAGCGCCTTCTCTGAGGGCCCAACCGCCAACTAAAATCTCCAGAGCATTTCAGCGTCCCTGGGTCATCCTAATATCGCCACCCGCCTCCAAATGAAAACAGGTGCTAATTTCGCTTCATGGTTTTTTCAAGTATTGGGCGTGACGTATCGCCTATAAAACAATCTCACAATCTCACTCCCAGCTACAATTTCTTCAGATAACTGTGAAGTATTTTGAGACCGTGTGCGATGGACACGATGATGGGTGAGCCGGGCTACATGTTCTGGTCAAGTATGGGGGATGTTCTGTTCTTCAATACGCTTGGGGCGGTCCTGTGTCTGTACGCCCTGCACGTGGAGCTCAGGAAGGAGAAGGACCCCAGTTACAAGGCACTGTGTGACATCGGTGATAACATGAGCTGCTCCAGAGTGCTGACATCAGAGTGAGTCAGCACGCTTTGAAACATCTTTTCTTTTACCCAGTTCTTATACAATCTAGTTATCTTTTTAATAAAAAACATCGGAGTGTTTCTTAAACTTTTGGAATGTGGGTCCACTAAAATAATGACAATAATTGATGTAACACAAAATACATATTTTGTATTGTTTTAGAAATATGGGCCTGAATCATACTGAATGTATTAGTTTTTCTGTTGACTACTTGGATAGTTTCAGCCATCTTAAATGCCTAGTGGCATCACATAGGAGACTTGACCAACCCATCTTAAATGCCTAGTGTCAGCACATAGGGGACTTGACCAAACCATCTTAAATGCTTAGTGGCAGCACATAAGGGGACTTGACCAACCCATCTTAAATGCCTAGTGCCAGCACATAGGGGATTTGACCAACCCATCTTAAATGCTTAGTGGCAGCACATAGGGGACTTGACCAACCCATCTTAAATGCCTAGTGGCAGCACATAGGGGACTTGACCAACCCATCTTAAATGCCTAGTGGCAGCACATAGGGGACTTGACTAACCCATCTTAAATGCCTAGTGGCAGCACATAGGGGACTTGACCAACCCATCTTAAATGCCTAGGGGAAGCACATAGAGGACTTGACCAACCCATCTTAAATGTCTAGTGGCAGCACATAGGGGACTTGACCAACCCATCTTAAATGCCTATAGGCAACACATATCATAGGGGACTTGACCAACCCATCTTAAATGCCTAGTGGCAGCACATAGGGGACTTGACCAACCCATCTTAAATGCCTAGTGGCAGCACATAGGGGACTTGACCAACCCATCTTAAATGCCTAGGGGAAGCACATAGAGGACTTGACCAACCCATCTTAAATGTTTAGTGGCAGCACATAGGGGACTTGACCAACCCATCTTAAATGCCTAGTGGCAGCACATAGGGGACTTGACCAACCCATCTTAAATGCCTAGTGGCAGCACATAGGGGACTTGACCAACCCATCTTAAATGCCTAGGGGCAGCACATAGGGGACTTGACCAACCCATCTTAAATGCCTAGTGGCAGCACATAGGGGACTTGACCATCCCATCTTAAATGGCTAGGGGCAGCACATAGGGGACTTGACCAATCCATCTATCCTTTGTTATGTACACATTTTTATTTTTTCTAGGTACAGCCAAGGTTTTGGTGTCATGCATGTTTTTTTTGGAAAAAATCACATTCTCAACTCTAGGAACTGTAACATGGGCCTTGTGGTTTACATAGTCAACATATTGATGTGTAAGTAATGGCACTATTGTATACCAGCAGTAACATCACCATTATATACCTGTATTAACATTAGTATCAGATACATGCAGTCAAATCACTATTAAAAAAGTGCGGGAACCTCATTTTATAACCTGCAGTAACATCAAAATTATATACCTAAACCAACATCACTATTATATAACTATACCAACATCACTATTTAATACCTATACCATCACTATTATATACCTAAACCAACATCACTATTATATAACTATACCAACATCACTATTTAATACCTATACAATCACTATTGTATACCTATACCAACATCACTGTAATATCCCTATACCAACATCACTATTATATACCTATACCAAAATCACTATCATCATTATATACAAAAAAAATATGTATTATCCTCACTATTATATATCTGCAGTAATATTATTATCAAATAACTGCAGAAACATCACTATTATATACCTGCAGTAACAATAATTGCTACGTGCCAGGGGCAACATCAACATTATTATAAAACTGGAATCACTTCACTATTGTTACCTACCTACAGTTATATATTAATATATTACCAGCTGATATGTCCACCTATGCCCGCGATTACACTGATTTAAATTTAACTGCTCTCACAGTTACACACATATATTATTCATTTATTTATATATTGCAACTATCTGTTTTGTCATGTGCCTCAAAATGTTTTACCAGAGTTAAACCCCCCCCAAAATAAGAGTACAGAATCAATAATGATGAATGATTGTTACAAATATTTGATCAGGCTATTCCTTAAATCTTAAAAATAATAGAACTATGGAAGCATTGCAATTTCCCTTGAACAAAAGAAAATTGTACAATAAAAAGTATATAATCTTAGATACCGGTATATAATAAAAGTATTACATAACAATAGGGTGTAACGTTATATTTTTTTTAGTATTATCAGGCGTATGTGCTTTGTTTGCTGCTCTATATGGCAGTAAAGTGTGGAACACATATGTCAATCATGGGCTGAAACTCAACAGCTTCTGTCAAAGATGTCTCTGTTGCATTTTGCGCATATGATGGCAGGACAAGGTGCCATAGAGGTCTTGGAATGTGCCAAAATGTGTGGCATCTTCTACGCTCTTAGCAAGAGGCACCTTTGCTGGTTATGCTATGTAAGGAGAATTGAGGAAAGTCGTATTCCAAAGGATCTGCTGTATAAAGAGTTGGCAGAAGAGGCAAGACTAATTGGATGGTATCGGCTGTGATTTAAAGATGTTTGCGAAAGGAACATGATGGAAGCCAACATAGAAATCAATAAATGGGAGATCATGCTGAGCACTGTTCCTGCTGACAAACAGCAGAGTATGAAAGAGTCAAACAAGCAGAAGATATGCGGGAAAAAGAAGCCTTTGCAACAAAAACAGCATTATGGAACAGCCAACTTTAACAAAAACAGCATTATGGAACAGCCAACTTTAACAAAAACAGCATTATGGAACAGCCAACTTTAACAAAAACAGCATTATGGAACAGCCAACTTTAACAAAAACAGCATTATGGAACAGCCAACTTTAACAAAAACAGCATTATGGAAAAGCCAACTTTAACAAAAACAGCATTATGGAACAGCCAACTTTAACAAAAACAGCATTATGGAAATCCAACTTTAATCAGGAGTCAAGGTTCTCCTGCGAGAAATGCAGCCGAGACTGCCATTCCAGTAAATCCCTCGTAAGCCATTTAATGAAGTGTCAACAGCTAATCCGTTATCTCATGAAGGTGGAATGATGCCATATAAAAACATACGTTTGGCAGCAAACGAGTTTGTAAACTCGCAAAAAGCTTTGTTCAGCTCTGTATAAAACAATTAACAAAGCATCAATTATTTGAATAGACTGTATTTTAAGTTTTTACTAACAGTTCATAAGATGATTTAAGCCCTATGAGGCATAAATTGCTTTGATGGAACATAATATATGTTTTGAAAAAAAGATAGGGCATCTAAAACTCAATGAAACCTCTGGTGAAAGATAGTGCATTGAAACTTCCAATAAATTAGTAGAGGAGATTCAAGTATAGCTACCAAGGATTCATCTGAAGTCCTTTCTTCAAAATGTACCTTTATTTTTGCAGACGTCAGTTGTGAAAGTTAATGAAAGTGAATATTTGTGTCGGTAATAACCTTCATTTTTCTACTGATTTTATGTTGAGGAGAGACACAATAAAACACTTTAGATTTAACCAATAAAAAAAGAGTGATTATTCCAAAAATGGGACACGAGAGCCAGAGAGGTTAATTTGTCCTTTTCCATGACAACAACTCCCATTTGTTTCCCCGTCTGAAGTTTTAAAGCTATTCGAAGGATGAAACGTTTAAGCCCGAGTCTAAAAAAATAAACAATATAAATAACAATCTCTTTCCGTCCCCAGGTCTTGCTCTGCCCACACCCCTCGCAGCCAGCATCATGTACTACAGCTCTATAGTCAATGTGTTGGGCTGTGTGTACTTGGCAGTCATACTCTTCTTTGTGCTGAAGGATGTCTGTTTGGTATGCTTGTCAATGTACGCTATAAATGGAAGTCTTCTGTATCTAACATACAACATGCATACATTCTATCACTGAAAACATTTTTTCGCTACTTGTGTATGGTTATCTGTTTACTAAAGGCATTTGATGGAAAAGTTTTTTGGCCCCCAAGAACATTGTTCCAAAGAGGATTAACGTGTTCCAAAGAGGAATAACTTGTTCCAAAGGGGAATAACTTGTTCCAAACTGTTCTTCCATAATTCCAGGTTTTCATTTTAATATCTTACTGTGTCATGCATTTATGTATGTTAAAGGCCTCCACATGTGTTTGCTAGAACATAAAATTATAAATAACTTTTTTATTTGGACAATTGCCAGCCCAATTATAACTGTGACGGTTTTCTTAAGATAATATTTATATTTTGATGATGGGAGATTCTATCAATTTACTTGATGAAACAAACATTTCTAACAGAGAGACTGAGAGTGAATCCTTAAGATAATATTGATATTTTGATGTTGGCCGATTGTATCGATTTACTTGAAAACAAAAATTCTAACTGTGAGAGATTTCTTAGATAATATTTATATTTTGATGATGGGCAGATTATATCAATTTACTTGATGAAATACAATTACTGGTAACCCTCCAACTTGCTTTAAAAAAAACAAACACTTGTTATTGTGTAGGAAAATAGGTTAAGTCTATACTGCTTAACATAAGCAAGTTTCTTGTATGAAATGTTTTGTAGGATACAAATAAAATATTTGTAAACATAAATCATATTTGATTTAATAATTATTGTTAGCTGTGTTAAAGTTTTATATTAAAACTGCTGAAGAAGCCTGGCATTTATTTTGAAATTTTAAGTAGAAAATTGCTTGTTTAGTCTTAGCGACCATTCATAAGAGAAGAATATTGTGGAACCCTTCTGAGGTTACCCTCAAGTTATTTAAACTTCGAGATATCTTATTACAAATATGCACTGGGGTGGTGGGGGCAGGGGGTGGTGATAATTTGCAGGAGAACGCTGAAAAAAATTGGTGTGCTGACGTGATCTTTGTGTTTTAAAGATTTTGTTCCATTTTTTTTTTCTATTTTAAAAGAAGTATTTTAAATTGAACAGAAGAAACAGCAAATCACTAACCAGTGCAACCATAGTATGTGCCACAGGTTATCTGATGACATTGTAAAATTCTACATAACTCTGTGCAAATTGTAAGATCCAGGTCCTTGAATTCAAGAAAATGCTTCAGTTTATAGACAACTACTGATTTTGAATAGTTTCAACATGACTTTATAGCACTGTTTGCTGTGCTCATTAAACAATTGTGTTTCTGATAATTTTTGTAATTTATTCTGTATGATGCATTATAACTCTAATTTAATGTTTTATGGATTTATATTTTTAAGAAACCTGAAGAAATAAAAATGAAAGTTTGACATAGAATGTTTGTACATTTTAATTAAATTTCAGTATTATTTTACAGCCTTCAGTTGATCATCAGTAATAGAAATAAAACATTAAATATATTTTTTTTTAATTTAAAGATTTCGATTTTACATTAAAGTCTTGCACATAAACTCTCAATTGCTAATTCAAAAGAAAATTCTACAGCCACCCCATAGTGACGTCTCACAAATGTACTTTCCTGCAGCCAAAAGCAGCAGATAACATTTTGTATAGCAACGGTATTCATATAATTTAATACCACTACAAGTTAATAAGCTTTTAACCTGCTAAAAATGTATATTTGTATAAACAAAACAAAAAAAAAGATCATATTCTTGAATATAAATATCAAAACGCATTAATTAAATTAAATTAATTAAACATTCAATGTAAGCCATCAATGATAAATTACAACACTGTGTTAGTTGAAACAGATGTCAGTTACCAACAAGTCCCATCTAAAAATAGGAGGAAGCTGCTCAATAAGAAACAGACCAGAAGGCCTGTTGTAGATAAGCAGGTATTGCTAAAAGATCACAGGCAAAAAATAACTGCTTGGCTTTTTTACCTAAGGTGAGTTATCTACACTTTGTTGATAAAAATATTTTTGTGGACATTTAAAAAAAGTAAAATTACTTTTAGTCATAAACAACAACAGAATGCAAAGAAAAATTATAACCTTGAATAAAAGGTTACAACTATTAAAAAATTACACTTTTAAAATTTGTATAGCAAAACAATGTAATCACAAAAGTGAAGTATGGGAAAGTTGCATACACAGCCTTGTGTATATGGCCTTAGCAAAAGTGCACTTATGATATTTTAACATACTTAGCTCACAGAAAAAAATAATTGAATTCTCTTTCCAAATTAAACAATTAAAAAGTTGGAAAATGATTTCCTGACTAGAACTAATTGTTAACTACTGTTGGCTTTAAAGTTCAAAGTTCATGGCATTAAAAAAATTTCAGAATCAATCGGTGGGCAATTCAGTAGCAGCAAGGCATCTATTGACCGAATGTCCCTCGCTAGATGTTTTGGGGGAGGCCAGGGCGGCGAGAGAGCCCTAAGTGAGGAAAATTTTATATGGCACAGCTCAGCAGATGGAGCTGGTAGACAATGTGCTAGCCAGGGTCATAAGAGAGTAATCTTAGATCCTCACCAGAATATGTGCGTTAGAAGTAGCAAAGAATTTCAGTAGCATCTCAGCAGAACGTTGAGTCTGGAACCAAGCCACCCTTGTTGGAAACTTGGTCCCCCAACACAATTGCTCATTGACAGAGCATTTACAGACTCTCAGCTGCTTTATTAGGCTGAACCCACAATGAGAACCAGCCTGCCGCCACTGCCACCAAGCACACATGACCGTGTCCCACCTGCTGGCTGAATGCCATGCACCAGGGCTGGGGAGAATGGTGGGTTCAAAATCCAACATTACATGGACTCGTTGTATGGTGGTGCCCAGGGTATGAGGCATTCTGCTGTGTTCATAGGTGGGACCACAAGGAGCGATTAGCTCTTCCCTTGAAGATTGTGTGTTAGTATGAGTAAGAAGGCTGTAGAGTCAAATACATTTGTAATAGTTGTGCCTGCATGACTCATGTCAATGAAAGGGCTTGTTTTCTCATGTGGAATTTAAGTTTTGTATCACAAAATCTGTTCTTTAAAAATTCATGTAAAATTATTAAACCTAGTCACGTCATAACAATTTCCCAGAATTCTGTCACAAATATAACACTTTTAATCTATTTCATAGAATTCAGCACACAGCTAAGACTTGAATTTTTATTTATTTATGGAAATTTAGAGGGTCTGTCCTTGATCTATTTTAAAACAATTCATGTTATCTTTTCCAGCTACAGGTGTTAATAAGTCCTAACATCAAAGCTTAAGGAAAGTATGAAGGGGTACGAGTTTTATCTAAATCAACACTGTTAGTTAAGCCGGGGGCGGCGGGGCGCCCCGCTCTACTTCTGTTTGTTAATGTAACCTCCTTTTTTTTTAATATGATGTCAAATGACATGCTTATCCACATCCTTCAACATTCTCTTGTTTAAGGTGAGGTGCAATAACTTTTCACATTTGAAATGTGACACAATTCCAAAAATTAAGAATAAAATAAAAGTATAAACCCCCGGCCCCCCCAACCCCATTTTTTTTTTAAACAAGGCACCCAGTTTATAAAATAATTGTGTTTCCATAAGATAGCGTTACTTCTACTCTACAAATTAGGTCAATTGCTCATGCTTCATCATTTGATCTGAAATAAACCCGTAGGGCTCAAATATAGCCACTGAAATCTGAATAGGAACATTTTAAAAAATAGAGTGTCTTGAAACCTGTGAAGATTTTTTTCCGGGTCAATTATTAATACGTTTTGAAGACCTAGGGGAACAATGGTAACAACTAACTGGATGTTCTTTATTCCCAATAAAAAGACCATCAGTCATGCACATTATATTACAATTGTTCAGAAAACAAGGGGAAGGTTATGTCTATGAACTCAGCTTACGTCCACTGGCTTTGATGTCCTATTTAGCTAGAGTTGATCATGACCAGAATGCCCACAGAAATTCACACCCAGTTTGAGCTTGGGTGCTGCATCTAATTCTCTAGTGCTGCATCCATCTATATATTCATATCACCGTAGCTGACATGCATGGGGCTCTGCTGATTGATTTCTCTCTCTAGAGCTTCAAGATCTGCTTGACTTATGTTGCCACTGATGTCCAACCAGTCGGCAAGAAGTGAAGATGACAGAGGACTCTGTTCAGGTCGCATACTAAAAAAAAGGAAATAAATTAACCATGACTGCATTTAAAAAAAAAAAAAATTAAGCTCTCAGACACAAAAGTATATTAAAAAAAGGGAAATAAATTAACCATGACTGCATTTTTAAAAAAAAATTTAAGCTCTCAGACACAAAAGTAGATAATCACTTTCACAAATTGTGTTTGACTGTAAATAGATTATTTTTGTTTCAAGACTTAACTTGTCTCCAAGAATTAAAAGATATTTTCATATTACCCAGTAAAATAGTTTTTTTTTTTTTTTAGTTTTAACTGTGGCATGGTTTTCTAGATTGTGTTTAAAAAGAAATATTATTTAAAACTGAGTGAGTAGTAAATTTTATGCCATACAAACTTTTGTTTCAAGACTTAACTTGTCTCCAAGAATTAAAAGATATTTTCATATTACCCAGTAAAATAGTTTTTTTTTTTTTTTAGCTTTAACTGTGGCATGGATTTCTAGATTGTGTTTAAAAAGAAATATTAGTTAAAACTGAGGGAGTAGTAAATTTTAAGCCATACAAACGTGAAGATGATATTTTGAAATGAAAAACAATGGGACCTCCGCAAAATACCAAATGGTTGCACAGAGACCTAATAGACTAATTGGATTGTAACACAATGCATGCCAAAATGATATCCTCTCATCGGCGAACATCACTATTTTAATCTTAAGGTAAAACAGCCAGCAGGAACAAAGTAAGGTGAAAGTGTTGATATTTAAACGTAATTAAGTCAACTTTACTCTTTATTTTTCAAATGGCCACTCTCAATTTATAATTCTATTTTCATATTCCATAAGCTAGTGTTGCAAACACTTTCCAAGAAAAGAGAAATAAATTTTAAAAAATGATTTAAAAGTCATATTTTATTTAAAGTTAAAGGAAAATATTATTTTCTGTGTTGAAAATTACACTTTTTTCTTTTTTAAAATGTTAACATGTTAAATCTATTCTTAATAGCGTTACATTCTACAAATGTTCAATCTAGTTTGGCTGTAATAATGTCCTACCTTGCATTGTCCTGTGCGTCAGTCAACATATTGTCCAGATCCATACCCACACCATACCCTGCTCCGGTGCCCTTTGGAGTAAGGGCCAGCGCAGGTGGGAAGATGGCAGACACCTGAGAGCGTGAAAGCTGCTTGCTTATCAGTGCTATGAGATCAGCATGTGCGTCTGTGCCTCGTGGCGGGTGGCTGCAGTTGATTCTCAGTTTGTGACCTGTGTTTGTAGATCCTGTGAAACAATGATGGTGGGATAAAAATCTCTGTGTGTAAAGAGTAAGATTGTTGTGTGCACAGAGTAAAATCCTTGTGTGTGTAGAATAACTTCCTTGAGTTATTAGAGCAACATCCTTGAGTGTATAGAGTAACCTTCTTGTGAGTGCTGAGTAAAATCTTTGTGTTTTTAGAGTAACAGCCTTGTGTAACATTGCTTGGGCTGAGCAATTATTTTTTTCACATAATTGATAATAATTAGTAAAAATAATGAGCAAACATTTGACCCACCTACCCATGATATATTGACCAATGAGTGGTAGTCAGCATACATAAGACCAAATTACCCACGATATAGTGACCACACATCTGACCGACTTACCAGCTACAGAAGAGCCAGATGCCAGACGAACTCCTTCTTGTGCAGCAAATGTGTTGAAAGTTCCAGAATTTAGAGAAGACATGGGGACACTGCTCTGTGACATGGTCATGGGTTGGTTCCTGATTAAATTCTGTTCTTGACCCTGTTGATGAGCCTGGCCTTGAGTGAAACTGTTAGTCTGAAAATGACTGATGTCCTGGGGGTAATCCGTTTGTTGTGAATGTGGTGGATGGAAGCCGGGAAAATTTTGTCCGAATGGCATGGAGGGAGGCGAAGCTGTTGAGGCCAGGTTCTGGAAATTCTGCAAGCTCCCGTACGAGTTTCCACTGCCGTAGATCTGAGAGTGGAGGTGCTGGCCTCGCTGTTGCTGGTGGTGATGATGTTGGTTTTGTTGAAGGTGATCCGAATGGGGTGGAAAATCTGTGGTGTTTTGAAAAATCATGTTTGGGTGATGGATCTGGGAGCCGTAGTTTAATATTGTCGGGGTCTGAGAGAAACTAGAGACACTGTCTTGCTCACAGAAGCTTACAGGAAAATCAGCTGTGTCAATGCTCTGGGAAAACTTTTCAGGGAACTTACTGTCATTGTGCTGAAAATTCAAGGGGAAATTACTCTGATTTGGGAATGAGCTCGAAAATGACTGCTGTGTGTTGTAAGCAGCAAATGGTAAAGACGAGCGCTGGCTGCGCAGCTGAACTGGGTCAGGGTTGCCGGGCGAATGAGTGTGACGGCGCAGCAGGCTGGGTGTGGAGTTGGAACGAGTCAACTGGTCCTCGTGGGTTGGAGGATACGAGCTGAAAGCCTGCTGGGCCAGTGGGGGTGAAGATATACTGTGCTGGGGGCTCTCATGGGGCGCCCCCATGTCAAAATGGGAGTTTTGTTCAGGGACAGTGTTGGTCTGGCTGAACTGTGCGGGGCCGTGGTATTCTGGGTGTTGTAGCGGTGTTGAGCTAATATCGGGTTTGGGTGAGTCCTTGAGGTGCTCGTCCAGAAAATCATAAAGGTCATTTCCTTGACTCCGAGGCGAGAGTTTATCTTCCTTAAATAAACCACCTGAATCTGGATGCAGTAGATGAGGATCAAGCAGAGATGAGTTTGTGAACTGATTGGAACCCAAGATGGTGGACTGAACTACAGGGGTGTCTGTGAGAATGTTCTTGACATCAGCTGAGAAGTCAATGTTTGGTTGGGGTGAAGAGGTAAAGTTATGAGTCTGTGGGGCAGCATTCTGTTGGATGGAAGAGTCTGACTGACTTTTCAAGGTCTGCAAGGTTAACCCCAGGCCACTGTTTTGATTTCTCATCAGGATTGCATTCTGTAGAAGGTTCTTTGTGCTGTCCGATGCCGCTTGGATCGCACCAGCACTGCTTGAAATGACCTGATGTTGGCCGATGTCCAGGTGCGGATAAATCCTCTTGAACTCCATCTTCCCAGGGTTTAGCGTCGAGGGTATGGCCAGGACGGGTATGAAATTCGTCTGAACTATATTCAGCTGTGTTGTGGGCATGAGGACTGTGCCACCAGAGTTGATGTGGTTGGATGCCATGTTGACAGATGTGCCCAACGTCACTGAGGTGGCTGCTGTTGTCTTGGCCAGGATCTGCCTCGGTTTTGTACCGGGCAAGTTCTTCTGACCCCCACCTGTCTCAGATGATATGTCTATGTTGGAAAACAGGCTGGTCACTTGTGGAGGGGTCATGGCTGGACCAGGGTGTGGGGGACTTGTTGCATCGGCTTGTTGTCCCCCCTGTCCAGGATTCTGCATGACTGTCCATCGACGAAGGAGCTCCACGTCCTGACTGGACAAAGTGATAGACTGATCTTGACAGCCTGCTGATGAGAAAAAAAATGAAAGCAATGACAATAGTATCAAAATTAGTATACAAAAAAAATAATTAAAAAAACAAAGGTTGTAAAGCTCTGTTACCTTTAATCAGGGGCATTTATCGGCTCCTGCTCCACAACACCCCCCCCCCCCCCCCCACACACACACACAACCATACACATTGTAAAATCTTTGGGTCAAGCCAGTCATGGTATTGGTGTTTAATTCTTACAAAAAAATGTACAGCAAAAATATTGTTAGAGCGTTGTTGACTATTCAGTAAAAATATTGATAACAAACTATTACAATTTCACGAGCAGTTCAATAATTCTTCACATTTCTCAGCAAACCAAATGATCAAATCCTGGGTCATTCCATACCAGATGATTGGAGTTCAATTCTCAGCCTAAGCCTGACAGGTAAAAAGGACATTTTTTCTTTCTCTAACAACCCCCACCTCCCAACCTTTCATTACTTATAAATATATGAATGACACACCTTTCATTACTTATAAAGATATGAATGACACACCTTTCATTACTTATAATGATATGAATGACACACCCTTCATTACTTATAAAGATATGAATGACACACCCTTCATTACTTATAAAGATATGAATGACACACCTTTCATTACTTATAAAGATATGAATGCCCCACCTTTCATTACTTATAAAGATATGAATGACACACCTTTCATTACTTATAAAGATATGAATGACACACCTTTCATTACTTATAAAGATATGAATGACACACCTTTCATTACTTATAAAGATATGAATGCCCCACCTTTCTTTTCTTTAGATTTTTTCACTTTTTCAAGTGCTCGCTCTTTCTTTTTTCTTCTCTTCTCTTCCCTTTCCTTCTGTCTCTGGGCAGCAGTTACGGGCCTTGTGTCTTTGGTCTCCTCTCCTTGAGACTCTGAAATAAGATCATTCAAGCAACAGTAAGTGTATTACATTCAAGCAACAGTTAGTGTATTACATTCAAGCAACAGTTAGTGTATTGCATTCTCATAACATGATTGAAATCCTCCAATCCAAAGTGTGCACTGCTGCGCCCTGCACATAGGAGCGAGCGTATTCTCTTTGAGAGTAGAATGGGTAGAGGGCGCCTCAAGGAAAGAATGAAGGCATCGGACCCACCAAACTAGGGAGACAAATAATCCTCTTTACAGCCTCTTATGTAATTATTTTTCTAGATCCGCCACTGGTTTTAGTATAATATTAATACAACACAATTTTGTGAAGGCATTTGTGCCAATAAATAATGTTGAAGTCAATAAATAAGGCTGTATTTTTGGCTATGTCTGTTATATACTCATTGGCATTTTCACTAATCTGGGGCAGCGTCCTTGATATAGGAATTGGATGTAGTGTGTTATAAGTGGTGAGATGTCTGTAATTATGAAGAATTTGTGAAATGTTTTTTGACAGATGCGTTTCTGAGATTTTTTTTAGGGTTTGGCGGAAACATGTTTCGGGCCATAGGAATTGCCTGGATTCAGAGATCCATGTTCTACGTGGGTCATGAACGCTTAATGCACGTTTTTATTGGTGCACACAAATGAACGTCTTTCCTCTGCGCTGTGCATGAGATAGCTTTGCACATTACATGAGAACATTGTGGTGAGTATTACTTTCCTTGACATCTGAGGTGTGCATGAGATAGCTTTGCACATTACATGAGAACATTGTGGTGAGTATTACTTTCCTTGACATCTGAGATGTGCATGAGATAGCTTTGCATATTACATGAGAACATTGTGGTGAGTATTACTTTCCTTGACATATGAATGTTGTGAAACGTATCAATATTGAATAATCATTACTAGACCAAAGGTAGGAAACCTTTTCAGAAATAGCCACAGCTGTGGCAAATAAAAAGTAAAATCCCCCACACTAAATATAAAAAAAAAAAAATACTATAAATCAAATGAGAGTAAATATCGCCTGGCTGCCTGGTAGTTTTTTTGCAGTAAATCTTTAGGGCCCTAAGAAAAGAATGGTTAAATATCCCCAAAAGTTTGGCAATCTGGGAGAGATCTCCCCCACCACCCCCTCTTGATTCATCATTGGTTTAAGTTTGGTGCTTAGTTTTTTAGTGACGGAGGTGTGGCTAACTCAAGGATGGCTCCCCAGGGAGAGTGGGATCATTGTAAAAACCATTAAAAAAAATTCCTTACATTAAATATATGCTACATTACAAGATGGCAAGTGGCATCATTCCTAAACAGCTAAAGGTTGGAAAGCAAAAACATACAATTTCAACCATTGCCAGGCAAGACTAACACAATGATATTTGTAACACTCATGACTGCCCACCTGCTCTTTGTAACACTCATGACTGCCTGCCTCCTCTTTGTAACACTCATGACTACACACCTGCTCTTTGTAACACTCATTACTTCACACCTGCTCTTTGTAACTCTCATGACTGCCTACCTGTTCTTTGTAATACTCATAACTACACACCTGCTCTTTGTAACACTCATGACTGCCCACCTGCTCTTTGTAACACTCATGACTAAACACTTGCTCTTTGTAACACTCATCACTAAACACCTGCTCTTTGTAACACTCATGGCTACATACCTGCTCTTCTTCTTCTTTATATTAAGGGCCCATGATCAATTTATTGTAACACTCATGACTGCACAACTGCTCTTTGTAACACTCAAAGACTACGCACCTGCTCTTTGCTTCCTCTGAGTAGCATTCATCAGGGCAAGTTTCATTCTTGCCTTTGTGTCCTCTGAAATTGTGTTTCCCCCTTTTTTATCCCCTTGACCTTTCAAGTCTTTGTCCCCAGCCACCTTCCTGTCCAGTTCGTCTTTCTCTTCATCTTCTGAGATCACTTTATTCATGCTGAGTATATCCGACTGGTGTGTGTCCATGGGTCTCCCATCATTGGACTGGGCGCTCAGCATCTCAATATCTGCACAGGCAGTCACCACATGAAGTTTACCAATGTCAACAGACACCGGGGAGACCTTGTTGCTGGGTTTAAAGTCAACACTGCTGGGGGCTTTAAATACCAGATCATGTTCTGCCTTGTTGGGTTTAATCTCACCTGAATAACAAAATATGCATGTTAAAAATAATAATATATTTTTTAGTACATCTGCTAAGTGGCACATCTGTGTTCAGTGAGTTTGTCACACTTTTGCCCTGTGCTTGCCAATCAAATTATGTGTTGAACAACAGTGCGGACTTACCAGAGTTTGGCGGTGGTTGAGCTGACTCCACCACACTGAGGTCATCTTCCAACTTTCCCTCTTTATGTCCATGATCCTCTGGTTTTGGAGCGGGCCGCAGGCAGGCGCTGAAGCTGAGTGTCGGAGCTTTTGGCTGGTGGAAGCTCATTATCTCATCCATTATGGCAGACCTCAGCTGATTTTTATCCAGATCCTGAAATGTACAAAAGTTGAGCATTCACATTTGCAAATGTTTTTAATTAAATATGACTTCACATCAAAGTTAACCCGGTTAAATAATTTACTCCAGAGCAAAGTTTTCATTATTTAGAAATAATGATTTTTTGTTTGTTTCAATCATGTCTTCATGTTCTCGTAAGTATTGAAAGAAATGGTGGATGTATTCGTGAAGCACTCTGAATAAAATCCGAAAGAACACCATCATTATTAAAATTAATTTACACTATTTGTGATAGAGCGTGGGGGGAGAAAATACCAGATTACCTCTTTTTCAAAGTCAAAATTAAATGTTGGGACACAGATGGGCTCATCATCTGGGTCATGGTAGTTATTGAGCAGCCTGTGGGACAAAGCTCGCTCCACCGTGATGCGATCTGTTGGATTCAACACCAACATTTTGCTGAGCAGGTCCAGAGATTTTTTACTAGTCTTTGGGAATAGCTTGTCCCAGGAAACTGGTTCCTTTTTAGTGAACCCTGTCAGGAAAAAATAGTTGGGAAAAAAAAGGTTTAGAGTCTTAGGAAAAAAAAATGAACATTTTGGAATTACTATGTCGTTACATTTTATATGCTTTTTAAATCCCTTTTTAAAAGCACTGGGCGTAATTTTATTATAGTAAGTAAAAATCATAAAAAAAAGCATGAGGCACTAATCCTTACAGTGTAAATATGCTTAGTAAATAATAAGCAACTTCTTTCTACTACCTTTAATAATTCTTTTGAGAATATCATTTTGGCAATTCTTCAACAGTGCATCGGAAGGAGTGCCCAGCACACCGAGAATCAGCTTCACTTGTGTAATGTAGTCTTTTCCTACAGGTATGGAATTAACACACACACACATAATTTTAACAACACACAAATTAACAACTATTTACAAATCATTCAAATTTTTTAAACTGAAAATTCTTAATAGCCTTTTTGAAAAAAAAAATAATTTATAAAATTGGTTCACACACTGTGTGTCGTGCAGCAATAAAGAGCCGCAGCTCCCCCTCAAGACACCTCAAATTGAAAAAAAAAAAATTCATTGCGAATTCTCTTTTTCACAGTGCACTTGTTAGGATTTCATACTTGATTTAGGAAAACCTGGATGCTTAAAGGGCACAGCGACTCAAAAAAAGTTTGGGAATATCCGATTCATACAAACAGATAAAACAGAATTGTTTTTTTATCATCTCAGACCATGACACAATGTTGCATGATGAACAATGTTAGCTACAGAGTTTTATTTTTCAGCTCGGGTGGAATACATTTAAAATATCATGATACCTGGAAACAAATGCTTCCTGCCAATCATCTCAGCAAAAATGCAGCCCACAGACCACATGTCCACAGCGGTCCCATATTCTAGCATTGAAAGGAGAATCTCAGGGGCACGATACCACCGTGTTGCCACATACTGAGTCATGTAGTAACTAGGTTCATTGGGGGTATAGAATACACCTCTGGCCATACCTGGATTAGATAAAGTTAAGAGCATCAAAATATGGTATCAAAATTCAATTCTTAACAATTAAGGCTTTTTTTAATGAATACTAGGTTGGGATATTGTGAGTTAAGGTGTTAAAATGAATGTGTTGAGACCATGGATGCTATGTGTCATGAATATGTCATAAATGGGTTGCGAGTGGTCATTTCAAAAGTGAAAAATGTTAATTCTCATATTTTAAATTAAAATATTTTTTCTATTCCATCTTAAAAATGCTGCACACATATTAATAATTAAGTTATAGGCTATAAATATGCAATAAGGTCCTCCTGTTTATTTTTTTAATTTGATGAGGTGAGAAGAACCTTCAACAACTTCTGATCGTACACTAATTTAAGTCAAGTGCATAATTAAAGTGTTCTGTTACCAAAATCTCCAATCCTCAAATGGCAGTCTTCATTAACAAGAAGATTGCTAGGCTTGAGATCACGGTGAATAACATTAGCAGAGTGGATATATTTTAATCCTCGCAGAATTTGATACAGAAAATAGCGAATGTGTTCCTCACTAAGTTCCTGTTCTGAGTAGATGATGCGATGAAGGTCACTTTCCATAAGATCAAACACAACATAGATATCCTGTAATTTAAAGAAACAATGACAGACTAATTTTTAATACAAAAATTAACGATTCAATATTAAGTGTTTAGTAAAAAGGAAAAGGTACAAAATAAATAACTTTAAAATTTACTAGTGTGTATCGAAGCTGTTGAACTGGGTTGAACATTTGTTAAAACTCAAAATTATATAAAACTTAAAATTGATCCTACTCATTAAGGTAACTCTTGTAAGGAGTCGATGGTTACCAAAATAAAATTATACTTTCTAACCTTAAAGTCTTTAGCATTTTCTTTGGGAAGCAGGATTTCTCGAATGCAAATGATGTTGTCGTGCTTGAAGTGCTTCAAAATCTTTATTTCTCTGTATGTTCGCTTAGCAATGGTCAATGCTTCAAAAACACTGGGAATCTTTTTGATTGCAACACGATCCCCAGACTTCTTTTGAATTGCTGAGCATACAACCCCATAAGCTCCTATGCCAATATTTTCTATAGGTTTGTAGTCAGTATCCTGCAAGTCAAATTTTACATCTAAAGATCGTTTTGCTAGACTCTTGCGAAGACGCTCCAAGTCAACAGCTTTGGTTTTTGATTTGTCATCGCCTCTAGTTGATGCTGGCTTTCCAGTTAATGTTCCGTTATCAAATTTTGAAGTCATCTCTACAAGACATGTACTGGTTTAATGGGGAGAATTAAAACAGTAACTGAAAATGTGTAAGGTAAACAATTAAATGCAGAATTTCACAAAGAAATTGACATTAATTAGCATTTAGTAAATTATACTGTAAGCATGAATGGTTATTGCTGATGGAAAAAGTCTTGAATACACTTAAGAACAATTTAAAGTGTGAGATCATAAAGAATTATTCTTAGACTAAGTCAATATATAATGGTATTACAACAGTGTAACCAATTTTATGCAACACTAAATTAAGGCTGTCAAAAGTTCTGTAGCTGTGAGCCAGATTCAAGAGGTAACAGAGGCATGGAGCCATAAATGGTGAAACCGAGGGTTGGGGGCATTTTAGGGAATTTATTATGTCTCCAGAAAAGCAAAACAACCCCATATAGTAGTGACATCTGCAACCGAAAATTTAAATTACACATTAATTTTTTTTTTCTATTTACATTTTAATGATTATTTTAATTACTTATAAAGGGAGCGCGAGTCATTCAAAACAGAGGCATGGGCCACAATTGGCTCACGAGCCATGGTTTGCTCCCCCCCCCCCCTTTGCAATAATTGAATAATAACTGAACTTATAGTTTACTATATGAAAAGCATTAGACTTGTTTAGTTATAAATATGATTTTTCCTAATTTTTCAACACTGTTTGTGATAAAAAGAAGGGAAAATAAATGCATTTAAATTTCAACAGTAACACACAAATAAACAAGGTTAGGTCATGTTAAGAATAAGAATGACATTTGATAGGCTAGGTCTATAAATGATTTGTGTCATGAAAGGTAAGTTTCGAGAGAAGTATAACTTTGAGTAAAAACAATTAACTTTGAGTAAAAACAATTAAAGTTTTAGAAATCTGATTTCAAACTGAGTATTGTTTTTTTTTACCATCATAGCACTACTAAGCCAATACAATACTCCAATTCTTGCTTAGCCACTTGCCATTAGCAAGCCATTTAAAACTGCACAATGCCCTGGGGGGAATTTCTATATAATATAAACCAAATCATACGATTATGAATAGGCCTCGTAGGTAAAGTTAACAGCGGGCAACAATGACTATAGACACGCCCAATGCACCAATATTCAGATTTAAAAGAAGTAAATTTCATATTTTGTTAGCATTTCTGCATCTTTGTCTATGTTAATATTTCCCAAACAAAGTTGTGCGCTTCTAACTTCTAAGGCATATGAGACAGATAACATCAAATGATAGGCAGGACTGGGCTCAATGAGGTGCAAACTAGGTTTTTTTGGGGTATTTTTACTAAAGTGTCATTGGTATAATTATAACTAATACAAATCACATAACCACACTGATGACACTGTCCACTCACTGGACCACTGTAAGTCTTCTAGTGTCTAGTACTAGTACCACTACTAAATTTGGCTACTGTCGAGAGATCCTCCTGTGACGTCATTTGCGTGTTTATTATAGTTGCAGTGAATTAGGGTTTAGGTTAGGTTGAGGGATCGATTATTGTTCAGGTTAGGCATAGGGGTCGATTTAGGGTTCAGGTTAGGCATAGTGGCATAGGGATCGATTTAGGGATACATTAGTGACAGAATTAACTGGTTGTGTCAAACAACATGGCGGCCATAGAGGGACGATCTCTCGAAATTTACCCTAAATTTAAATGTGTTAATTGACTATTAGTATTAATAATCTGGTGACTGCCACACTAATCAGTTACTAACTAATACTAGTAATCAGTAATTCTGTGACTATGTTACATAGTCACAGAATTACTGATTATTATGTATTAATGTATATTTCTGATTTAACAAATTAGTATCAGTGTAGTTACTGATTGATAACCTCAGAGTGACTCAGTGCGGCTGCATAATTTACTACTTTGTTGACTAGTCTAATATTACTAAAAAATAATAATTTAATAATGACTAATGACACTAATTGTGACTAATTGAAGTAATTGTAGTAATGAGTAGTAGTGTTAGAGTTAGTGTAAGTTATTATAGAGTATAGATGAAATATTTAAATTTTATTATAGATAGGCCCATTCTGTTTTGGATTGAACTGTACATTAAAAAATGTTAATTTGATATTCTTTATACCTATTTTCTGAACAAATTTTTTCTACTACATGAGTAAGATGAGAAGCAAGTTTTCCTCTATAATATAGTGCTCTCCCTTTCATATTTCCGGAGACGACAAAAACATTTGCCTTTTAAGAATATCGCAATACAATTTTTAATTTAATAATATACCTTTGTTTATTCTTTATATTATTTATTATTTGTTAAGTAAAACATTTCTCAACATTCACACATCATTAGCCTATCTTTTCTTTGTTTTTCAAACGTATGATTAAAAAAAATGTTACGTTTACGCCTACGGCCTATGGGGCTATCCATAAATGACATTACGCGTCTTTTATTTTTATTAAAAAAAATAAATAAAGTGGGGTGATCAGGTGATTATATGATGTGACGAGGGGGAGGTTGGGGGTGGAGCACGACCCAGTTCTAGTAGGTCGTGGGTTCAGCAATGTTACGTCACATTAAAATGCGGAACATTCTTGGGAAAAAAAGCACTTAATAGCTCTAAATTAAAAACATTTTAACATTGTTCTTTTATATAATAATTATTTTATGTTTAAACTACGATCACTGAGAGAATTTGTACAGGTATGCGATGTGACATCAGATGTCCTAGAAATTTCATCTGATCAAGTTACAGGCCGTCACGGAGGAGGAGACTCGGGGTGTAGTAACTTTGCCAGTCTTAAGAATTCTTGTCGAAATGTGAAGACGGGAGTCATATAATTAGGGCTACCACGTGCAGTGAGAGGGAACAGAGAATAGTTGACGGGGTGGGGGTGGTGATCCCAATACATTTTCTAGGACCGGGATTCTCAAACCTTTTTGCAGCACTGCATCTCCTTTCAATTTCAACCCCCCCCCCCCCCCCCCAAAAAAAAAAAAAAAAACCATAAAAATAAAATTATAATAAAATTAAAAAAAAAAAAAAAAAA